ACAAAAGATATTCCAGTCACCCAGAAAATTCCAAGGAATTTAAAAGTTTTATGTCAGGAACCAGGGTCAAAGACCAAATATTTGAAGAAGAAATAAAGAGCTTCTGCTGCTCTTATCACTTAGGAGATTACAAGGGTTTTAGGAGCTCTGTGTCAGGAACTGAGCAGAGACTAAAATCTATTGTCTATTATTTCACAGGACACAACTCAACCAACATTCTTCCCCTTCCAGGTCTGGGTTCCAGGAGCTGCATCTATGGCGGGATATCTGGGGAGGTCCAGAGAAGAATACCTTCTGTTAACGTCACACAATTCCAAACTTGGTGTTCCAAGGCGCTTTCCCCTCCATGGGAATGAATGTAGGCAATGAAATGCATGGGTACAGCTCATAAATCTACAACCACCTTGCCAAATATTTGCCTTTGATGCTCCTTTGTATCCTGGCAGCTTATCTCTACCTGCAGGCACTTTCCTAATTTAACAACACTACCTGTCATGGAGCTAGTTAAGCCTTAGTGGTGTTTTATCACATTCCAATATCCACCCCAAATGTATTGCTTGGGGGGGTGTCTTTTTCAGCACTAACAGAAGTAGACTATCTCTACTACATGAATTCTTGAATGATGTTGTTATAGCTTTTGAAAGTGGTTTATAATGACGGTGGATGGGAAACTAACAGCTCAATAGCCACAAAAAGCAGTTACGAAAGTCCAAAACGCGCTAACAACAGTGATTTGTTCCATAATGATGCAGCTATGGTCATTTGTTTGCCAGGTACAGTGGCACCACCTTGTGGCAGTAGTATAAACATAGCTGCACATGCTGGGCTTGAAATTGTTCAATACTGAAACAGGTTCTTTTTCTAGCATTTGTAAGAGTTTCAGTCTATACATGCAGTGGCAACTTGTTAATGTTTTTTTAAAAAGATTATTTATTTATTTATACAAGCACTGGGTATAGTCAGAAGCACGGGAGCGTGAGCGAATTCACCAGAGCCAGAGTGGGGAACAGAACAGGCAGACTTGAGGAAATACACTGCTGAGGGGAGCAGTGGGCGCAGCAGGAGAGGTCTGCGCACCATGTGGGACCCTCGCCCGGTGGCCGTGGATCAAACTGGTGCTGCGAGGCTGCAGGCAGCTTCGCAGCCCAGTGCTCAACCACTGCGCCACCAGGGGAGGCCCAACTTGTTAATGTTTTTATGTAGCAGTGGGTCAAAGTCCCATCACTCAAATCTGCATATGATGCGTATTATAGAAAGCCAGTCTGGCAGTGTAGCTCATGCTCTAGCTGAGATAGAAAAGCTTTTTTGTTCATGTCACTCCTGTGTGGGGTCTCCTAGGACCTGGGGGCTGCAATTCTTAGAGAGCAGTTGCGCCTGAGCCTAAAAACCCATCAATAAGGAGCAGGTGACACTGACACAGCTGGGTAATTTGTCTCTTTGCTCTTCAGCAGCTCATTTGGTGATGATCTATTTGTCCCAGGGAATAGATGATGGCAGGTTTGTCCATATTTTACACTTATGAACCTGCCTGCTCCACTCCGCCCAGCTCTGCCCATCTGTCTTTGTCCCTGATTCCTCTCATTTCATTTCGCAGCTTGGGCAGAAGGTCTTGGCAAAGAGTTATGAAAGTGGATTCCATGGGGGTAGCTTTGGGAAGGGAAGAAGGGAGGGGTAGGGAGGGCCGGCTCCAGCAGAAGAGAGGATGGACAGATTCAAACGAAAGAGATGTCACAACTCAGTGATAGGCAGGAAGGGGCCTCAGAGGGAAGCAGAGGGAGTGATGCGAGGACAGAAGATGATGATGCTCACAGAAGACAGAGTGATAGAACTGAGCTCAATCCCAATAATAAAATTGGGCCTAGGGCGAAACCTAATTGTGATAGCCAGCCTCCAAGAGGGCCCCCATGACTCTCATGTGTTGGTTTTTATATCTGCAGTGCCAGCAAGCACAAGGCAGGTTCTCTATCAATTTGGGCAGATGGATAAAGGACAGTCTTATAGTGTGAGATAATGTGGCTTTTTCAGGCTTTAATGCTCTTTCTATGCCAACTGTTGTGGGGCAAGACCATAGGCCGGCAAGGCAGGGAGGCTGGGGGGCTGGGAGCTGGCGAATCTTTACTCTTTCTCTGTGGGCTCTCTCTGGCATTCCCTCATGGTCTCTTCCTTTCGTAGCCATCACTTGTGCTCTTGTAGGTACTCTAATGTAGCCATCTTCTGCCTCTGGGTGATGCCGCCCTTATAGCCTTCAGCCTCCAGGCTCAGATGTGCTCATTTACACATGTCCACGCCATGCCCCAGGTGTCCACAATCAGGCATGGTGCCCCACACCCACACTCCCAAGTGCCTTCTGCATTCAAGGCCACAGGTAATAGCCACGGAGGCCAATGGCATAAAAGCCTGACCAATTCACTTACCCTCCACATCCTTCCCTCACATAGCAGAGCTGACATGTGCAATCAAAGGGATATGAAGAGATGACAGTATGACTTCCTAGGTCAGGCTATAAAAGTTCTGGAAAGTTCTCCCTTTCTTTCTATTCTATCATATGATTGGAGGGAAGCCAGCTGCCAGTGCAGTGAAGACACTCAAGCAACACCTGGAGAAACCTATGTGGCAAGGAACTGAGGCCCCCAGCCAGTAGCCAGTACTAACTTGCCAAGTGTGCAAGCAACCCACCTTGGAAACAGATCCCGCCTCCCCAGCCAAGTCTTTGGATGACTACCATTGAAGCTGCCATCTTGACTGCAATGTCATGGAAGAACTTGGGCCAGAACCAGCCCAGATAACCCTTCCTGAGTTCTGACACATTTGGAACAGTGTGAGATAATGTTTATTGTTGTTTCAAGCTGCTGAATTTTGGAGTAATTTATTCCACAGCAATTAGAAATGGTCTAATTCCTCCTTTGTGGATTTGTTGTCCAACATCTATCTGGTTTGCTGCCCAGAATGCACAGTGCATGGGGCAGGGACCCATTCATACCAGGTGCCCATTTATCCAGCATAGCATGTCACTGAGGGATGGAGCCACAATTAGAATGACTAAACCTCCTGCTTTCCCCAGGACAGAGGGTTTCCCAGGGTGGGGGACTTTCAGTACTAAAACGGAGAAAGTCTGGGGCAAATTGAAATAAATTGGCTTCACCAGCAGTGGTGAGGGGATAGGGTCTCAAACCTGCACCTTTGGTGAAATGGGGAAAGAGATCCATGTCCTATCTTTCCTGGTCAATGGTGGAATCACGCTCCTGGAGCCACCCAGTTTGATGCTAATATGGGAGGACGGGAAAAATCTGATAATTTCCATTTACCCTACAGATACCAAGTCAGACCTCCTGGGAGGCCGGATGAGAGTGGTTACTTTTTAAGGGAAGGCAGCTCCAATGCACAGTACCAGTGACATGTTAAAGCTGTACCTTCATCTGCCCCTGTGGGCTTTTCCTGAGTGACTGTGACCAGTCCCATCATAAGGACATACTGTGCCCAGCTGTGTCTTTAGCCCCTCTCCATGCTGGGCACATCCTTGCAGAGATAGACAGTGGGCCTGAGGCTCACCATCTTCTGCCTTAGCTCCAAGGCAGCTGCCACCCAGGCTGTAGTCATTGCATTTATTTTGATGATTCTGCCTGTCTACAATGGTTGATTTCACTTAGCCATTTATCACGTTGATAGTTTCCTTTGGAAATAAGTCATACAAATAAACATGTTCATTATAGCACCTTTAGAAAACACAAGGAAAAAAATATTTCAACCTCTACCTCCTTATAGAACTCATCATTGACACTCAAAGTTGATAGAGGACCACCTTTTTTTTTCTCTTCCTTCCCATTACAGCTCCTATATCTCCGCACAGGTCTTCAGAGCGTCTACTGCAATTGAGGGGGAGAAGGGGCAGGTTGTTTCGACCACCTCTGGTGTCTCAGCACTTAGCACAGGACCTGGCCAGGCAGACTCAACATTTGCTGAAGGAATCACAGACTTAAAGCCTGCATTCCAGGGCCTCCCTGGTGGCGCAGCGGTTGAGCGCTGGGTTGCGAAGCTGCCCGCAGCCCCTACAGCGCTGGTTCGATCCCCGGCTGCTCCCAGGAGGGTCCCACATGGTTCATAGACCTCTCCTGCCGCCCGCTGCTCCCCTCAGCAGTGTACCTCGGTCCTTCTGCCTGTTCTGCTCCCCACTCTGGCTCTGGTGAATTCTCTCACCCTCCCACGCTCTGACTGTACCCAGTGCTTGTATAAATAAAATATAAATGAATAAATAAAAATAAATCTTTAAAAAAAAAAAAAAGCCTGCATTCCACTCCTCCACCCCAAGCAGAGAGGAGGAAATAAAGGTTCAGCCTTCAGCAGGTAGACATTATTGGCGGGGGCGGGAGGGTGGGGTATGCATATGTTTTGTCCCTTAGAAGTGATTAGGCCCCTGGGCCCTCCAGTGGGGTCTGCAAGCTTTATGCTTCTGCTGTGGTTTGTGAAGGAGTGGGGAGATTGTGGGGTGTGATGGGATTATTCTGGAAGTGGGGGAGAAGGGCTGGGTCCAGAAGGGCCGGGCAGAGATGGCGAGGAAGGATGAAAAGGAAAAAGGACACAATGGCGAGAATGCGTCCCAGGGGCCCAGCCTCGTGCACCTGTCTTAGGTTCCCGGTTCTCTGATAACTAGACGCGGTCTCTGCAGCCCCCTCCCCGCCCCTGAAAGCACCGGCTCACTGACACCTGCCGCTCATCGTGGCGAGCCCAGCCAAGTAATTTTGCTGTCAGCGAGCCCATTTTACCAAGGTGGATACTGAGGCCCAGAGTGGGCACGGGGCCTGCTCGCTGTCACAGAACTAGTCAGTACTAGAGCCGCAGGGGCTGCAAGGCTTAGAGGACAAAAGGCCCCGCTCGGCTCAGCGCGGCGGAGCTGGGGAGATGCGCCCGGCAGCGCGGCGGGCCGGGGTGCGAGCGGAGCGGGGCGTCCGGCCGCCCGGGGTGGGGCTTGGTCTCGCCCCGCCTCTGCCGCCGGGTTCGGGGGCGGGGCTCCCCTCCAACCTGCGCCGCTCCAACATGGCTCCGCGGCTGTGCAGCATCTCTGCGTCGGCGCGGCGGCTGCTGGGGGGCCCGGGGCTCCGCGCTGGGGATTTTGTGGCTGCTGCGTCCGCGCGGTGAGAGCCGGGCCGGGCGCGGGCGGCGCGCGCGGGGGTTGCTTGCGCGGTGGCCTGGGTTTGGGCCTGGGGGCTGGGTAGAGGCTCTGGCTTGGAATCCTGGGGTTAGAGGCGGGAGCAAGATCTAGGCCTGGGGAAGAGGTCTGGGCAAGAATCCCAATCATCGGAAAGGCACGCGCAGGGTCTGTCCTAGGAGGTACCTGGACCCGGGCAGGGATCGAAAGATGGGGTGAGTGGGAGGGGCACTTGGTGGGCCCTGGAGAGTGGGAGCAGACGGGGCAGGAGTGGCCCCTTCCCCAGTCCTTTGAAACACCTACTAGAGGCTTCTAGGAGAGGCTTCTGCTCCCTCGGGAAATTCTGGGGGGGGAAGAGACATGGGTAGGGGAGCGATGGGGGATCCCAAGGACCATGGTTGCCCAGGCCCTTTGCTTCCCAGCCCTGAATAGTTCAGCTGGGACGCAGGAGGCTGGAAAGGGGATGGGAGTAGCCCAAGGTCACTCTCCCTGCTGTCCCATGGCAGCATTGGGTCTGGACAGGTCTCCCCACACCTCGTGCTCTTTGCACCACAACCGCTGGCCTCCTGGGCAGCGGAGGCTGCTGACCCAGCCATGTGTTCATTTGGGCTTCTGTTTGGGCCCGTGGGCTGGGCTGAGGTTGATGCCGGCCTCCCTGCAAACCAGGGGGTCCCACCCTCATCTCTCCAGGTCTTGTGCTTGCCCCATCTCTGCACTTACTACTTGGTGCTTGCTCACTTCCCCACAAGACCATCACTTCGATTATCTGTTACCTCAGCCCCTGGCGTGGGGCTAGGGACTGTGTATGCTCAGGATTATTTGTCAAAGAAGTGAGGACACCTGTCCCCACATCTGTGGAAAGGAAGCAGCAACTTCCTCCTGCCCAGCAACTCAGGCGTGAAGCTGTGGAGTTGTATTAGACCTTGCCTCACCAGATATTAGGGAGCTGGGCAGCTGGAAAGAAGCAGCCACGGTTGTACCTCTACCCCTACTGCCTGTTACTTGGGAAGAACATGCTATCATGGGAAGAACCTGGAGTTTGCCTTCCAACAGCAAATCTTGCTCAATCTTAGTGTGGTGAACTTGCATGAGTCATTTGGCTTCTTGAAGCCTCAGATTCTTCATCTGTAAAATGGGGGTGATAAAATAAGATGTATCTCATAGAGTGGTTGAGCCTGTGTGTGAGGAATCTGGCTCCTGTGAACATGCCGCAGATGTTGCCCCTTATTCAAGCCTATGTCTGAAGCAATTTCTGTGTGACCTCCTTAAATATCAGGACTGAAAATGCCTTTGGGAGATCATCTTCTATAGCTCCTTGCTTTCCAGATGGGGAAATCAAGGCTAGGGACAAAACCTCTTTCTCCAGGGTGGCAGAGTCAGCTGGTGATAAAACTATTTGTGTGGTAAATATCCTGAAACCACAGAAGGAGCACGGGACTTGAAGGCAGCCTGCTGCTCCTTATTTACTCAATTAGTGACCTTGGAAGAGGCATTAAACCTCTGTGATCGTTGCTTTTCTTCTTTGTAAAGGGGATTGTGATCCCTGTTGGGTGTTTTTTTGCAGGGTTGCTGTAAAGGCTCTTAGATCAATAATTATCAAGTCCCTTAAGGACAGTTTTAAAGTTACTTACATCCTGGTCCCACCTTGGATACCTAGGAACATCCCATCTTGCTGACTCTTAATCTGTCCCATATCTCTCTGGAGTCACCAGCCACAGCCCTTCTGGCCTCTGAGGTTTGGGTGGGTACAGAATGTGGGCTTTGAAATCAGACGGACATGGAGAGGAATTCTCTTGGCCACTGATTAACCACCTTTGAATAAGGCATGGGATATCTCTGAGCCTCTTTTTTCCCAAAAATATGTTGTGAGGATAGTTCTTAGGACATAGTAAGTGCTCAATAAACAGTTGTTAGTGTTAATGTAATACCAGTAATTCTGTTGTTAACGGAAATTCAGTTCTAGTTCTTCTGAAGACACACTTCTGGAACAATAAACAGAAACATGGGTGTCACCTTTCTAACAGCAGTCGACTCAACAGAGTAGTATTCTGGAAAGTGCAGAGAGCCCAGCATCCTGGCATATAATGCTGAGCTTCCTAGCTTATAAATGTAGAACATTCTGGAATAGTTTCATGGGGAAGGCATCAGATTGTTGATCCATATCGAGAATGTAAATGTGTCATCTACTGAAAATTTCTTAACTGGACCAACATTTATTGAGCAACTTTTTTTTTTTTTAAAAGATCTATTTATTTATACAAGCACTGGGTACAGTCAGAAGTGCGGGAGGGTGAGAGAATTCACCAGAGCCAGAGCGGGGTACAGAACAGGCAGACTGATGAAGTACCCTGCTGAGGGGAGCAGCGGGCAGCAGGAGAGGTCTTCGCGCCATGTGGGACCCTCGCCAGCGGCCGGGGATCGAACCAGCTCTGCAGAGGCTGCGGGCAGCTTCGCAACCCACCACTCAACCACTGCGCCACTGGGGAGGCCCTTATTAAGCAATTTTCATGCCAAAGCCCTGTACTAGCTCCTCGGGGGATGGAAGGACATTATCTAGTGGCATCTGGAGTGTCTGGGGAGAGAAGACAATCATATGAAAATGAAAAGGCTGAGGGGAAACATGACAAGTGTTTTTATACAAGGGACTGGACTAGTCCAGTTGGAGTAGGCCCTTCCCAGAGATTGGACAAAACTGTGTGGTGTTTGTCTAGGCCTAAGAGGCATTCTTTTTTTTTTTTTTTTAAGATTTTATTTATTTTTGCATAGAAGAACTGGGAAGTAGGCCAGAGGTGGGGGCAGAGGGGGTGTGAGAGGATTCACCAGAGACAGAGTGGGGAGCAGAACAGGCAGATCTACTGAAATACACTGCTGAGGGGAGCAGCGGACGAGACAGGAGAGGTCTGCTGTGCCATGTGGGTCAGCTCCCTGGCTGGGTATCGAACTCAGGCCTTCGTGGTGGGCCGTTGGCGATGGTAGCACTGATTTAACCCCTAAGCCACCAGGGAGGCCCCCTTAGAAGCATTCTTAATATAATATGTAGATAGATAGATACCAGAATCTTTTTTGTTTTTAATTTTTTTTTTAAAAGATTTTATTTATTTATTTATACAAGCACTGGGGTACAGTCAGAAGTGTGGGAGGGTGAGAGAATCCACCAGAGCCAGAGCAGGGAGCAGAGCAGGCAGAAGGACCGAAGTACACTGCTGAGGGGAGCAGCGGGCGGCAGGATAGGTCTGCGTGCCATGTGGGACCCTTGCCGGCAGCCGGGGATCGAACTGGCGCTGCAGAGACAGCAGGCAGCTTCGCAGCCCAATGTTCAACCGCTGTGCCACCAGGGGTGGCCCTAGATACCAGAATCTTTTACATTTCTGTGTTGATTTACTGAGATTACATGAAGGAAAATTAAAAAAACAAGAAATTGGAACTGATCTAGAACAATGACTTTCAAATTTGAACATGCAGCAGAAATTCCTGGTGAGCTTGTTAAAACTCAGATTGGGAGGCCCACCTCAGAGTTTCTGTTGCAGTAGTTCTGGGATGGGTCCTGAGTATTTCTCTTTTTTTAATATATTTTTTTAAGATTTATTTTTATTGATTTATGCATCCAAGAACTGGGGTGCAGGCCAGAGGTATGGGGGTGAGAGGATTCACCAGACAGTGGGGAGCAGAACAGATGGATCTAGTGAAATACACTGCTGAGGGGAGCAGCAGGCAAGACAGAGAGATCTGCTGCGCCATGTGGGTTGCTCCCTGGACTCATGCTGCAGTGGTTGGTGATAGCTTGATAGTGCTGAGACTTTAGCCCCTGTGCCACAAGGGAGGCCCCGGGCCTGAGTACGTCTAACAAGTTCTAGATGATGCTAATACCATGTGTTTGAGAACCATTGAATAGGGAATCCTGGCACTGTAGTTACCAGATTTAAAAGGGAATTGACTCTGAAAGCTTATCAAAGTAGATGAGAACTAGAATTCCAAGTGGAAACATTCAGCTTTTGTTTTGTAGGCAATGAGGAGCCAGAGAAGACTTTCTTGAGAAGAGGAATAGCATCACAACAATGGTGATTTATAAAGATTAGGGACAGACTAGGAAAAGGGGGAAGAGTAGAAGCCAGGATGTCAGTTCCAGGGTGGGTGAGAACGGTGTATTAGCAGCCCTGCCACATCAGGCCCTTTCTCTAAGAGGCCCATCCTTTGCCCCTCTTGTATGGATGAGGAAAATGATGCTCAGAAAAATGAAAGTGAGCTGAGATTCAAACCCAGGTTTGTCTAGAATCAGTCCTCTGCTGCTGGTGGTGGGGCTGGATCCCAAGTCCACACTCTGAGCTAAAGGCCCACGCTTGGGTTCCTTTCTTACCTCCCAATTTTTGGTATCTTCATGCACCCCACCATCCTTCATTCACATGACATGATCCCAGCACTGTTCAGGCCCTGGGGGTACAACAGGGTACACAGAATAGACAAGGCTCTGTCCTTGTGGAGCTGCCTCTAATGGGGAGACAATAAAAAGGCACAGAACAAGCAGGAAAATTGATACAGTATGTTAGAAGGCGCTAGGGAAAAAATGGAGAGCAGGGCCTCCCTGGTGGCGCAAGGGATTAAGATGCAATCTATGAAGCTGTCCACAGCCACTGAAGCCTGAGTTCAATCCCTGGTCAGGGAGCTACCCACATGGTGCAGCAGACCTCTGCTTGCTCACCCACTGCTCCCCTCAGCAGTGTATTTCAGTACATCTGGCTGTTCTGCTCCCCATTCTGTCTCTGGTGAATCCTCTCACCCCCCACACCTCTGGCCTGTACCCCAGCTCTTGTATGCATAAATAAATAAATCTTTAATAAAAAAAATGGAGAGCAGAGTGAGAGTGATTGGAAGTACAGGGCAGGAGAACATTGTGATTTCACTGAGAAAGTGAAACTTGACCTCCTGAAAATGTGAGCCTATGGATGCCAGGTTTGAGTTCAGACCCTGCTCTGAGACCTTGGACAGGTCTTTTTTCAAAGTGTAGCTACAGAAGAGAGCTTTAGAAGAAGGCTGTTCCTCCCTGCTCAGTTGGTACATGGGGAAACTGAGGCCCACAGGCAGGAAAGACTGGGGGTGGGGCAGACATGAGAGCCTATGAAAGTTCCTGGGCCCCTCCCCTCCCAATCTCTCCCCAGCACTTCAGCCCCCAGACTCTCATCAGGGCTAGCTGCTTGGCTGTTTATCTTGGTCAGTACCAGCGTTAATAAATTACTTGAAGCCCAGTGCTGGAGCAAAGGTCTTGGTTGACAAATGACAGGAGCCACTCTGCCCCCTGCCACCACCTCTCCCAGGGGAAGCATCCCCTCTACATTCAAGCCAAAGGTCAGGCCCCTCTGCCAGTGGCTTGTTGGAAGCACCTGATTTTTCATGGTATCTGCCTGAATCTCTCCAGGTCAGTGCCCAGCTCTGGCTTTGGAAGAAAGAGCTCTGGATTGGTGCTTGCCTTAGATCTGCCCTTGATTTACTTTGTGATGTTAGGCAAGTTCCTTCCATTCCATAACTTTTTATTTTCTTGTCTTGAAAATGGGGACACATGCTATCAATATTCTAACATCATGGCATAGATTCAATAGGATCATGCCGTTGAAAAATTTGGTCACAGATCCCTGGCACAGAGGATGTCCTTGGCAAATGGTATCTGCAGCAAGATTCCCTAATGTTGGTCCACAGATTTCACAGACCACACTGCCCATCTGATGATATTTGAGTTTTTGTTTTTTTTTTGGTCTTTGTTAAGGAAACAAATAACATGCACAGTGACAGAAAGCCTGTGAATTCAGAAATATGTAAAAAAAATTTTCTCAGTTTACAAAAATATTTTAATAAATAAAGAAAAAATTCACCATCTTCCTCTCTTCCAGGTAAGCAATGTTAACTGTTGGGATAAATCCTTACTCATCATCTTTCTCTGTGATCACCACTTTAATTTAAAGATTTATTTATTTATTTATACAAGCACTGGGTACAGTCAGAGGCACGGGAGGATGAGAGAATTCACCAGAGCCAGAGAGGGGAGCAGAACAGGCAGAGTGATGAAGTACACTCCTGAGGGGAGCAGCAGGCACTGCAGGAGAAGTCTGCGCACCATGTGGGACCCTCACCTGGTGGCCGGGAATCGAACTGGCGCTGCAGAGGCTGTGGGCAGCTTTGCAACCCAGCACTCAACCACTGAGCCACTGGGGAGGCCCAACTTTATTTTTATTTATTTATTTATTTATTTATTTTTAAAAATTATATTTATTTATTTAACTCTTTTTTAAAAAGATTTATTTATTTATTTATTTATTTATACAAGTAGTGGGTACAGTCAGAAGCGCGGGAGGGTGAGAGAATTCAGCAGAGCCAGAGCACGGAGCAGAGCAGGCAGAAGGACCGAAGTACACTGCTGAGGGGAGCAGCAGGTGGCAGGAGAGGTCTGCGTGCCATGTGGGACCCTCCTCCAGTGGCCGGGGAGCAGCCAGGGATCTAACCGGCACTGCAGAGGCTGCGGGCAGTTTTGCAACCCAGCGCTCAACCGCTGCACCACCAGGGAGGCCCACCAACTTCATTTTTTTTTTTTAAGATTTTTTTATTTATGCATGCAAGAACTGGAGTGTAGGCCAGAGGTGGGGGCGGTGCAGGGGGAGCGGCTGTCAGAGGATTCACCAGAGACAGAGTTGGGAGCAGAACCGGTGGATCTACTGAAATACACTGCTGAGGGGAGCAGCGGGCAAGATAGGAGAGGTCTGCTGCACCTTGTGGGTTAGCTCTCTGGTTGGGGATCAATCTTGTGCTGCAGTGGCTGCCAATAGCTTCATAGTGCTGAAGCCCAACCCCTTGCGCCACCAAGGTGGCCTCCCGATCACCACTTTAAATGTATTTATTTCCTCAGTCCCAGTCACTGCTCCTATTTTGGAAAAAGTAATACTTCAATTTGCAGCGCATTTATTCTAGCCACAGAAAAGTCTCAAAAAAGGAAAGGACCAACACCTAGGGTCCCCACTGATGGGGTTCAGGACTGGGGGTGATTCCTTCTGCCCAGGAAGCAGCCAGTAGAAGGCTTGCTATTCAGACCTGGGTTCATGTTGCACTGAGGCTGTTAAGCAAGAGGATTTGCTGCCTCAGGCAGCTTAAAAACAAGCCCTTCCCCTGCTGGGACCTTGTGTAGGGAGTCAGTTATGGTCTGGCAGGGCCCAGTGGCAGGTACTTTGTCTGAACAAAGTACATGATCACCGTTTCTTCATTCTCACTGCATCTTAGGGAGGTGTGCAGGCCAGATACTCGTCAATTCAGTGTTGGCTGGATGAATGCATGAATCTTGCTTTGCATTCCCTTTTACCCCCTTTTATCTGCCTTTGTTTGCCAAATCAGCCCTGGAGATTTGGAAACTGATCAGTTCATCTTCTCTGGAGAGCCTGCCCAGACTGCCAGGGATTGAGTTCAGGCTTGTTTACCTGGGCTTTCCCAGAGATATCCCACTTATGTTCTGAGGCCTGTTTCTTCCAGTGGACTGTGACCTCCTTAGGGACAAAACTTTTTTGTCTTTGTCTCTTCATTTGCGGGGAGTGGAAAGGGGCACAGGCTAAGTGTAGTGTGGGCACTGGAGAGGACAGTGAGTGCAGCCTTCTCATCAGGGGGAACAGAAATTGCAAAGAAAGCACAGTGGAAAAGCCTGGTGTGTTCAAGGGGAGTGGGGTTCATAGGTAGAGGGTGCAGGAGAGGAGGCATCAAGCCAAAGTAGGTTTGGAGTTGAACCTGTTGGCAAGGGGCTGCCATTGTATGGGCCAAGTAGAGGAGCCCTTGAAGGGAGTGAAGTGAGGACAGAGAGACTGGAAAGAGCTGGGACATAGGTCTGCCTCTTCTGTCCTCCTGAGCCTCCTGCAGAACTTCAAGAAACAAATGAGGCAGCCAGAATCTCTGTAAGAGGGATCAGGTCTGCTCAGGTCCAGTGTATTTCATATTCTGGAACTACCATGGGATTCCATGGCCCCATTCCCAGAAATATGGGTCACCAATCTGAGGGAGCAGGGCTTCTGAACTGATGGGAGAACCGAGGCTCCCTGCATCCCTGCATGTCCCTCTAAATGCCTCTGTCCTACAGCTTCTATTCCAAGGACAATGAAGGCAGCTGGTTCCGCTCCCTGTTTGTCCACAAGGTGGATCCCCGGAAGGATGCCCACTCCACCCTGCTGTCCAAGAAGGAAACCAGCAACCTCTACAAGATCCAGTGTGAGTGGCTGCTGGGCCGGCCAAGCCTGCCCTCCTGGGGACTCTGGAGTTCTCTGAGACTCCAGGCGGGAGATGTGAGGGTCAGGGACATCACGGGCTGTCCTGGGAGCCCTGGTTGCATTGTTCCTCTCATCCCAGCTCCCCATGGACACTCATGAACCCTGCTTCATCTCCCACTCTCTGTGCTCTGTTGCAGTTCACAATGTGAAACCCGAGTGTCTGGATGCCTACAACAGCCTGACGTGAGAATGCTCCTCCAGCCACCCTTCTCGGCCCCTGCTTGGGTGGGGGACTCCATCCCAGCCCAGTTCTCCATGCAGAAACTTAGGGCATGTAGATTTCAGGGTCTTAAGTCCTAAGGATACCTTGTCCAGCCTCTGCATCTTAGAAATGGGGAGACTAAGGCTCAGCCCCCTGGGTCTGTGTTGGAATCCTTATTTCAGGTGCCCTGGGGGCTGGTGTGAGTCCTCCCCTTTCTCTGTGCCCCTCCCGTAGGGAGGCTGTGCTGCCCAAGCTGCACCTGGATGAGGACTACCCCTGTTCGCTGGTGGGCAACTGGAACACGTGGTACGGGGAGCAGGACCAGGCAGGTGAGGTACCTACCTCCCTGGTGTTACTGCTTGGCCCAGCCCAGGCCTCAGCACCTCTCTCAGCTGACTGCCCTCCACTTCCTCTCCACAGAAGCTCCAGAAGGTCATTGTAAATTCGATCCTCATCCCAGCTCCCTTATACAAACACCTGCGGTGGCTCCCCTCTGCCCCTGGGTACCCCACAAGGCTCTGAATGCTGCCCAGCCTGGCCTCCCTACTCACTATGCTTTCCTTCCCAGGACATTCTTCACATCCACACATTCACTTGCAATCTGTGGGCCTTTTGTTCATGCTGTTTCCTCACCATCCATTCATTTATTCATTCATTCATTCATTCTCCCCTTGCCTGCTTTACTTGCTCATTCTTCTATTCCCTCTTTTGTTTTGGCATAGACCTCACCTCCTGGAGGCCTTCCCTGATCCCCTCCATGCACGCTGGGCCAGGCACCTCCCTTGGCTCTGTAGTGTCCATGTCTGTAATCCATGTAGGTGGTACCCCTGCCTGTCCTTCACCTTGGAATTCCCAGTATGTAACACTGGGATAAATGGGGGTTCTTGTCTGAGGTGTTCCCTTCCACTACCCAGGATGCTGTCCCACCTTCCCCCAACATACCCATCTCAGTGGGCACCAGATGGATGCCCAAACACAAGAATGTGGTTGAACAAAAGAATGTGGTTGACTCAGCATCTCAGCCACCCAAAAGGGCCTGGGCAGTTAGGCCAGTGCTGTGCAAGGATGGTAGCCACTAGCCACATTTAGTTATTTAGGTTTAGAAATTCAGCTCCTCAGTCACACTTGCCACATTTCAATGCCCACTGAGAGACACGTTGTCTTGTGGCTACTGCCGTGGACAGTGGCTGTGGAATGTCTCAATCACAGTAGAAAGTCCTTTGGGACAGTGCCCGTTCAGCCTGTGCATGGCACCGAGAGGTCCTTTGGAGCAGTCTGGACAGCATCCTCTTGAGCACTCTCAGAACTGGGATACATGCTGCTTCCTGGCCAACTTAAGCCCTCACTAGCCCTGATAATTGTATATCTTTTTAAAAAAATACGCAGGTAGGTAAGACTCCCTTAATCATTTATTTCACTAACAAATTGACATGATAGATGGGTAAGAGAAAAACTAAGTGTCTTCCTATCCCCTGTTGTTTCCCCATTTAAATACAATTTGATCAGCACCAGCAGTACTTCTTGGATTCTCTTAAGTGTTTACTAGTGGAGAAATGCACTGTGAGGACTGGATTTTCAAGCATGTCCTGCAATTTATGAGGTCTTGTCCACTGTGTAGGACAAGATAGGGAGCAGACCCCCTCAGCCCTCTCCGAGGAGTAGCACTCAGGAAGCTACATTCCAGTGCATTTGAAAGAACCACTGACCATCTTCTAAAGGGACCACTGCAATTATTAGACAATTGCTAGGCAGAGCCCTCTTGGTCTCTAAGTTCTCCCTGTCCGTCCCTTAGTATCAAGTTAATCCTGCTCCTACGGGTCAGCTTCCTGGACTTGGTAAACTTCCCTCCATATGGTACTTTTGCTGTTTTTCTTGGGGGGAAAAGGCCTTTAAGCCATTATTCCCATTTTCAAGGTGAGGATATTGAGGTCTAGAGGGGGTCAAAGACAATCTGGCAGGGCTGGAGCTCAAACTGAGGTCTCCTTGGCTTTTGTCAAGGCTTTTGCTGCCCAGCACTGCCCCCCACTAACGCAAGGGGAACTCAGACTTCGTGCTGCTGGGAGGTAGGCTGGAGACCACCCCTTAACACACACACTTAACCAGCCTTGGGGTAAGCAGAGCAGAGTCCCCTGATTGTACCTCCCACTTCCTCTACCCCCCAATAGTGCACCTGTGGCGATTCTCAGGCGGCTACCCAGCCCTCATGGAGTGCATGAACAAGCTCAAAAACAACAAGGTAAGTCACTGTCCACTCAACAAACCTCTTTGGAGATTGGTCCAGAGCCCTGTGCTGGTGGCTGCCTCTGCTACCCTATGGGGTACACTGCCAGGGTGGGATGGGGGTCGCTTCTAGGCTATCATGCCCAGATCACCATGCCTTCAGGAGTACCTGGAATTCCGGAAGGAGCGGAGCCAGATGCTGCTGTCCAGGAGAAACCAGATGCTCCTTGAGTTCAGCTTCTGGAATGAGCCACAGCCTAGAACAGGCCCCAACATCTATGAGCTGAGGACATACAAGCTCAAGGTGCCTCCCTCCCAACAGATCCCCATGTGCCTCCCATCTTTCCTCCTGTAGCGCTGCTTGCAGGTACCCCAAGGTGGGCAGGCTCTGTGCCAGAGCGCCTAATCTGGGGCTTCTGGCTTCCCCCTCCCTCTGGGCAAAAAAGAGAGATGTGTATGCACATGTGCACACATGCACACCCCAGGGTACCAATCAGAGTCCCTGAATGAGGTCAAGCAGCCCCTGAAACTGGGCAGATAAGACAGTTACCCATCTGTACCCAGCTGTGATGCTGGGAAGCCTGGATGGGGGCTCATTCCCACCTGCTCCTCTGGTTCTCTTTCAGCCAGGAACCATGATTGAGTGGGGGAACAACTGGTGAGTCACAGTGCCAAGGGGGTGAGGGGGGTACCCCGAGCACCTGCCCCACCAAGGCCCTTGGTGGGCCACCTTTCTTAGGGTCATATTACAGGGAACTCCGCATCCTTATGGATCCAAGGGAAGGATCCAACCAGAAGGAGAGGATCTCCTGGAGGATTGTGAGGCTCCCCTGGTAGAAAACTCAGCCTGCGGTTGTACCCTGTTCATTTCTGAGAGCTGGGGGCTCTGCCTCTTGTCCCTCCCTCAATGTATGGCTGAGTAATCAGCTTGAGGATACCACAGGGGACCTTCGCATTAGCCTTGGCCTCTGCCCCACACTCTTCTGCCACCCCCAGGGCTCGGGCCATCAAGTATCGGCAGGAGAACCAGGAGGCAGTAGGCGGCTTCTTCTCGCAGATAGGCGAGCTCTACGTGGTGCACCATCTCTGGGGTAGGCTGGGGACCCTCTGGGAACCCTCTGTAGCCCCCTTCCTCTACTGTCACTCCACATATAAAATGAGGATACATTGGTACCTGTGAGGAGCTTGTGTTCTAGCAGAGGGAGATTCCACCTCAAACATAAACTAACAAACAAGATAATTTCAAATTATTACAGATAATAGACAGGGAGAAATGATGAAGAAAAACACGGGAACCTACACTGGCTTGAATAGACAAAGAAGGTCTCTCTGAGGAGGTTAAATGTCAGCTCAGCAAAAGGATGAGGAGGAACAGGCCATGCATTGCTGGAGAAGGTTATTTCAAGTAGAGGGAACAATGTGTGCAAAAGTCCTGTGGTGGGGAAAAGCCTTTGGGGTTTTGAGGAACGGAAAGGAGTTTGGTGTGGAGGGAGTGGGTAGAGTGTGAGGAGATGGGATAGGCGAGGGAGACAGGTCAGGTCAGGCTGGGCCTTGAAGGCCACGGGCATGAGCTGGGAGGCTCCAGAGGCTGCTGCAGCCCCTGAAGCAGCAGGACATGACCTGCTTTGTATTCTAGTATGATTCCTCTGGCTCCATGGGCTTTGCTAGAGCACTTTGCAGGGGAGCCAGAGAGGAAGGACGTGGGGCACCAGGAGGAGGTTATACTAGCTCAGCTGGGAGAGGGCGGTGGCCTGGTGTCAAGTGATCTGGGAGAGGATGCTGAGAAGTCCACAGCTTCACTAGTCTGGAGGAAGAACCGATGGGACTTGGGTGAATTGTCTGTGTGGGGCGAGAGAGGAGAAGAGCACTCTAGATGCCCAGGCGCCTGCCCGAGCAGCTGTGTGTCACTTCCTGGGACCTTAGCAGGAGCAGGTTGGAGAGATCAGGAGTGTAATTTGGGTCCTGGGAAGTGTTCCCATTGAGTGTTTCCTCAAGGTTTTGCTTTGTGGTTATCATGAGGTTCAGACATAAGATCTTAGGCTGTGTTACATTTGATGTTGACTTTTCTAACTAGATACATCAAGTGAACCCTGGATACACTAGTTTGGCGCCAAGAGAGTTCTGGACTGGAGCTAGACATTTGGGAATTGTCAGCAAATATACTGATTGGATGAGATTGTCAAAGCAGTGTTTAACAGTCCCAGGCATGGGGGTTTGGGGGCAGGGGAAGAGACAGCAGGGCAGGCTTTGGAACAGTAGGAGGAGGGCCCCATGCTGGGAACAGGATACAGGATCACATCCTTTGTGCTTATGGAATGACTCTGTGTCTTCCCCACAGCCTATAAAGACCTACAGTCTCGGGAGGAGACTCGAAACGCTGCCTGGAGGAAGAGGGGCTGGGATGAAAATGTCTACTACACAGGTGAGAACCTTATCTGGGGCATCAGCCAGGTTCATAGAGGTCATCTACCAGGAGCCCTAAGGAGGCACACCCCTGCACAAGATTCGCCTCCAGTGATGGGGGCTCGATTTTCAGACAGGCAGCTAGTGGGTCTCTAGCCCGGCGGCACTTTCCACAGTGAGTGCCGCAGCAGGTACTGCAGCCAGGCTGCACCTGCGTAAGAGAGGTACTGAGCCCTGTGACCTCAGGCATGGTTCTCACTTCACCGTGTGTTTCCTCATCTGGAAGATGGTGGTGCCAGTGCCTCCCTCAGAGGACTGGAGCGAGGATTCCAGGAGCTAACAGTGAAAAGTGCTTTGCCCAGATTCTCGCCCAGAGGATGCATGCAACAGATTTTTTTGAGCAAGTTTCTTGTTCACCATGTTTGCCACCTTGCTCCAACCCCCAGTAAACACCGAGGGTCAGTGAGCATTGACTGACCCTCACTGTGTGCCAGAGACTCCTACCCTCCCTGGGCTGCAGTTTCCTCATCTAAAACATGAGACAGCTGAACAAAAAACAAGTGTTTTTTAAACGTTGGCCACTTGAGGCCAGCCTCACAGCTTTTGCCCTACCAGTTTACCACTGCTACGATTATCTCCTTGATAGTTTTCTTTAAACTCCCAAACTTTGTCCTTAGCTTTGTCCTAAATATCATCTATGGATTCACTTTTTACTATGCTTGCTATTTTTTTCACCTACACAGGAAAATAAATATGTAACTATGAAAACTTTTTTAAAATTCTCATCACCACCTAAGTCTCCTACTTATCCCATATTTGGAGGACCTGATTTTCTCCATAGGCCCTTCCAAGAAGGCAGCAAGGTTTTTCCTGTCTTGGTATCCCAGGCCTCCTCCCCCTTCAAAGGCTAATTTCAGGAATCACCCCTCAGCTCCCTCTGATCTCTGCCTCTCTCTCTCCCTGCAGTCCCCCTCGTGCGACACATGGAGTCTCGAATCATGATTCCTTTGAAGATCTCGCCTCTCCAGTGATGTTGCCTCTGCCTCCACCTCCTTCCCCTCACCCTCAGGGCAGACACCAACAGAGAAGCTCCTGCTGTCCTGGTTTCTCTCAGATCTGGGAGGACTCTGGGGGTTAGTGCTCAGCTCAGACAGGGGGAGTTGAAGGATAACAGGGTTCTGAGCACTTGTAGCTCTAACCAGACCCTTCCCATCTTCCCAACCCCTTCTCCCTGTGCTAAAAGCAGTTTTTAATTTCTCTAAATGAAGAACAACAACCTTTGATGTCTTCTCACATTTCCCTAAGATCCCTCACCTCAAGGCCACCAGACCCTAACTATCACGGCAGTCCTCTGTTTAGCTTCAAGTGCACAAAAGATAGTGTTTCCAGTGGCTTCAGATATGGTAGGAAGGGAGCCGGTGAGACCAAGCGCTCAGGAATTCCCTGGTCTCCACTGGGCTACCCACTTGCTGAACTGCCTGAGCCAAGTCCCTCCTGATGGGCAAAAGTCACAAGTTAGCAGTCTGTAGGAGGCCCTCCTACTCCACCAAAAAGGGCTGGGAGCTGGAAGGATTTGGGGACAGGAAACAAAATGGAATGGGAACCTAGAGTATAGAACTTAGAATTCAGAACTTGGGTTTGAATTGCAGAATTTGGAATACAGAATTGACAAAAGACCACTTGGGGAGGGGTTTCTAATACAAAACAGATGGAGAGAGGTTCATTTGTTTGTCCTTACGATGAGGTGAGAACTTGAATGTGAAGTTCGTCCCTTCTGCGCCAGTATCTCCTGCCCTCCCTTCCTCTCTCCTGTCCTTTCCTCTCTCCTAAAAGCAAAAGGCCAGGCTAGGGCCCGTATTTCCCCTCACTTGCATTCTTTTTCTCCATCATTATATTCTGTCAGCCCAACCCTCATTCTTCTGGGCCTCTGTATGTGAAATGGGGTCAGTGGTTATAGGGGCCTGCTCAGTGACACCCCCACCTCATGAATCCCGGGGTAGCTTGATTCTGCCTCCCCTTTAAGAAAACTTGTACTGAAGTTGCTGGTGGAACCAATTAAATATTTACTATAAAACACAGTGTCTTTTCTTCTTCTGCAAGGTACTTTGGCAGGTGCCCTGGGTAGAGCAGAGCAGAGCTGGCCAGCTTCCACCTGATTAATACCCTCCACAATGCCCCCTTGGAGGGTATGGTGTTCCTACCCCAGTGACATAATTCCTTATGAAACCAGGGGTTCAGGACATCGGTGTTTCTAGTTATGGATTAAATAGGACTTACACCAAAAGCCCTGAGCACTATTTGTACAATACACATCAAGAGTTAAAAACACGTGAAGCTGTCAAATGCTGCATTAGAGTTGGGCAAATCCAGTCTATGATGGGGGAACTATTGATGCACACGTGGAGGAAAAAAACAAGTGTAAAATGGGGTTAAAACCTTCTCGACTTGCTCCCTTCACTAGTGTGAGGTGTTTGGGTACATGTTGTATAACAGTTAAGAATCCAGGTTATAGAGGCAAATCCACAGGGGTCTAGATCTTGGCACTTCCTCGCTCCAAAGGGCATACGACAAACACATGGCACAACGCCCACTAGTTTCTGGGGAAAGTGAACGAGGCATAAACGCTATTTTGCCTTTGCAATCTCAATTTCCTGTTTTTAGAGGGTGTTGGCCGGCTGGGACCTGTCGACAGCACAGGAGTCCATGACCTCGCCTCCACACGGCCCAGTCGCCGCCAGCAAGGCGAGCCAGCGGCCAGAGAGGCCCTTCCCGCCTCGCTTCCGGCCTCCGCGCCTCACTTCCGGCAGGTCTCTCCTTTCTTCCGTTTCTCTATGGTGCGCGGGCTGCTGTCCCTTTGCTGCCGGAAGTGACTTCCTCGCCGGGACAGGTTTGGGTAACCGTGTGGTGAGGTGGGAACCGGGACAGCGGAGCGGAGAACTGGGCGCAGCGCGGCGCTTCTGGGGTGAGGTCCGCGGCTCCCGGCAGGAGTGTCCAGGCTGGGGTCCCATCCGGATTCTCCCCTCACTCCCGGGGTTCCTAGGCGTTCGGCGCTGCGCGCGGTTTCGTCTGGAAGATGTTGCCTGCAGCATTGTCTGGTCCCACGCTGTAGCCTCTGAATGTGACGGCGACGACAATGGTGGTTTAGATTTAGTTTAAGGTGCTGGTAACAGCTCACATATATTATGCGTTTATGTGTGCCAGGCTCTTTTGACTGTTTTCAGAGGCACGACTTTTTACACTTACGCCTTTAGGGCTCCATTTATATAGGTTTTGCCAGATTAATTTACCATTTCTATGACTGTTTACTCAAGATTTTTAATCGAGTCACTATTAAATTTACTTTAAAACTATGTCATAAATGGAAAACTACTCTTTTCATATGCTTCAAGTAATGATAAAAATATATTTAACATGATGAAAACAGATAATTGTTAATAATTCTGGTTAGATTCATTACTGAGAGCTCTGAGACAGTTCTTGGTTATCAAAGGAATGTTGGCATTCAGAGTTGTTAAAGACAATGAGAAATGAGTTTCTCCTTGAAGCAATCAGAGGTTTCTAAAGAGTTCAAGACTTGAACTCTCTCCTTAGGTGTTTTAACATTATTTCAGATCACCCATGCACCTTCTAAAGCCCCAGTCCCAGATTATCTACATCACTTTTTCCAGTGGATTGCCTCCTGTTTTATGTACACAACAATCCCTGAGGGAGGACCTGTTACTGTTGTTTGGTCTGTGAGGAAACAGACTCTGAAGAAAGTGACATGACATAAAATTACAGTAGAGTGGATACTCCACTGCAGGGCTTCTCTGGCCTCATTGTAAGTGTTAGTAATAAATTAATGGTTAAGGGAGCAGTGGTGCCCACAGGGGGCTGCAGTGACAAGTAGAAAGTTAGCTGAGGAAACATGTTTTGTGATCCTAGAGCCCCATGAAATGTAGATTTTGTTTTTTTAAATTTTAGGGAGTTGGTAGCATCACCGGATGATGTTTTATAATAAGGATCAAATGAGACTATACCCATAAAGGGTATGGGTATAGTCAAGGCCCAGCTCACTGCGATCAATCAGTAGTATTGGGAATGGATTTATATGACAGGCTGAGAAGTTTCGTCATTGGGGTGGTGGTGGAGAAGTTGAGTTCATTTTGAACAGGCTGAAGGATGATTTGTTTTCCTTTGCACAGAGGATGAAACTGAGACTTTGGAGATTCAGTGACTTTTCTTGAGTTACCAAAGTTGTAAGTGGCCAGAATTGCTTGTTAGAAAATCTTCAATTCCAACTCTGGAAAATCTCAAAGCTTTCCTCTCTTAACAGGTCTCTGCTGTTTGCTCCTGACCTCACCAAACAACTATGTCATCAGAATCAAGCAAAAAACGAAAGCCCAAAGTCATCCGAAGTGATGGAACCCCAACTGAAGGAAAGCGTAATCGATCTGACACTGAGCAGGTGAGATCAGCCAGGACTGGCTGTGCTGCTGAGATATTGCAGCTTGTGACAAAGCTTCTGGCAGCTGAGGATTCCAGGGACAACCTCCCAGACGTCCTCCTCTTGACTGGGTGTCTGGAATTCTCACTTGGCTCTACAAATCTTAAGTATCCATATTAGGTTTTAGCGGTAGTATCCCAAGAACAACAAGCCTATATTAGACTCATTAGTGCTTAAGAAGAGAATGTAGTCTAGTATAGTGTGGGTCTCTAATTGTCCTCATGGTCAGAAGAAGCAAGTTCATCTGCAGCATGCTGCTGGATCTTTAGAGATGTGCATCCTTGTTCTCTGCTGGAGAGAGTACTAAACAGTCCTAGGACCATGTGTTTCCAGAACTTCTGTGGTCTGAGAGCTCATGTGGTTATCAGGTTTTCCTCCTTTTGCTATTTCTCTGTCCTTGAATCTGTAACGTTAATTTATGACAACTCTTTGATTGGTTAGTTTTGCTTTTTAAATTAGAATAGAGAAACATACCATCTTAAATTAAATTTAAATGAAATTAAAAATGAAGCTTTCCATGGCCCTCCCCCGTGGCACAGCGGTTGAGTGCTGGGTTATAAAGCTGCCCGCAGCCTCTGCAGCGCCAGTTCAATCCCCGGCCACCTGACAAGGGTCCCACATGGCGCGCAGACCTCTCCTGCCGCCCGCTGCTCCCCTCAGCAGTGTACTTCGGTCCTTCTGCCTGTTCTGCTCCCCGCTCAGGCTCTGGTGAATTCTCTCACCCTCCCGCCGTTCTGATTGTACCCAGTGCTTGCATTAATAAATAAATAAATCTTAAAAAAAAAAAAAATGAGGCTTTTCTCAGATTTAGGAAATCAAGATTAGTGAAGAGTTTTATGCTTTTGGGGCATTGATTCTGGCTGTCTATTAAAAGGATATATTTTATTTACAGAGAATGGGGGCCAATTATGATGTTTCGTTTTCTGCTGAAGCTTGATTTGACTATGTTAACACCCATTGGATAAAGATTTGTTAAAGTGAATTCTTGTTCATTTGTAGTGTGAACCATCATAACATTTTGATGGAGATCTGTATTTATTGCAATGGGAAATTGCATTAAATAGCATGATCCCGTTTTATTTAAAAATAAAATTTGTATTTGTCCACATTACTTTTGTTGTTGTTTCCTTGTTTCATCTTTATTATTTTTGTCTACATTATTAACAGTGGCATTATTTCAAGCTGGAATGTAAGGTTATAGGCAATTTTTCATTTTCTTTTTCATATTCCCTACTGTGTTCTGAATCTGTGCTACCATGCATGAATTACTTAATAATAATCAGGAAGAGAAAAAGAGGGATTCTTTTTCATTATGGAAAAAAGAAAAACATTTGAGGACCCAGTCCTTTAGAGATCTTACTCAAGGCTTCATTGTTACCTACGTCAGTTAAGGGTCCCTGACCCTGCCGGGGAGACTTAACCCATACACCCAACCAAGGCCACTATACTTGTCTCAACAGGAAGGTAAATACTACAGTGAGGAGGCTGAAGTAGACCTGCGGGACCCTGGCAGAGACTACGAGCTATACAAGTACACGTGCCAGGAGCTACAGAGGCTCATGGCTGAGATCCAGGACTTGAAGAGCAGGGGAGGCAAAGATGCGGTAAGTAGTGGACCCAGGCAGATATGAACCTGATGGGTGTGTCCTGGGACCAGGACGAGTTTCCTGATCCTCATCTACTGTCCTAGTCATGATTCAGGTATTTGGATCTTGGGGGCTTCAGAGACCTGCCTGCTAATTTTTTGAAATGTTTCATTACCATTCAGTCATGGTAGTGTGGCAACCAGGCACAAGGCGGCAGGCCCATGGGCTGGGGGACTGGGAGGCTGGTGGGCCTCTTGGCTCCCAGCAAATCTTTACTCTCTGGGCCTTCTCATGGTTGTCTTGTCTCATGGTTCTGTCTCTTGGTAGTCACTTGTCCTCTTGTAGCCATTCCCCACCACCATAGCTGTCCTCTGTGAGATGCTGCCCTCTTAGCCTCAGCCTCCAGGCTCAGGTGTGCCCACTTATGCATGCCCACACCATACTTCAGGTGTCCACAGTCAGACATGCCTGCCCCCCGAACCCATGCTCTGAAGTGCCTTCTGCACTCAAGGCCACAGGCAATAGCTACAGAGGCCAGCGGTGTAAAAACCTTGAGCATTACTTACCCTACAATCACCAATTACAGTAATGAAAGTACAGGATAATTCATTTTTTCCATACCTGTAATATGATATTTCATCCAATTACTACTTAATAAGTGCTAGGCATTTGGCTGGGTGTTGAAAAAGGATAGTACATATGAATTCCCTTACTATTACAAGGATGGATATGTACAAGTAAATCAGAAACTAAAATGAAATTACCATTAATATTAACTGAGTAAACCAGACTTCAGGACAGAGAAAGTAAACAATGTAACTAAAAGCTGGATGAGATATATTCAAAACAAAATGACCCATATTTTTCTTGGACTCTCATTTATTTGCACTTATTACGTTTTATCTGTTTTACTATAGCTAAGCTTTACAGGTTTACTTCTTCAGCTTTCATTTGAATTATTCAGTAATGTTATTTAAGAGGTCAAATTGTATGGCACAGTGTTGTAATTATTAGGATATCTGTGTACCATATGTAGGAACAAATGTTTGTATTGGGTGTACTTGCTCCACCTTCAGTTCCTGTTACTACAGTCCCAGCAGAAATTGATTTTTTACCTGGGGACCTTAAGCATTTCCTTTACACAGTTACTCATGTCCCTTTGATGTAGCTCAGGGTTCTGAGCTCCCTCTAGTGTCTATTTTTCACCTTGGGTGAGGATGGGTCAGCAGTGAGGGGCTGAAGGAAGCTTATTTGAGGTCTTTACCGGTTTTCTTTGCCCACAGGCAGTTGAGATTGAAGATCGAAGGATCCAGAGCTGTGTGCATTTCATGACTCTAAAGAAACTTAACCGATTAGCCCACATCAGGTTGAAGAAAGGAAGAGATCAGACCCATGAGGTAGGAGTTGAGAGGCTTAACCCTCCTCCTTCCTCTTCCCCAGCGCTGCATTTGCTGCTTCTCTGCTCTGTGCCTCCTGACTGGCCCCACTTACCTCTCACTTTGTCCTCCTATCAGGCCAAGCAGAAAGTAGACGCCTATCACCTGCAGCTCCAGAACCTGTTGTATGAGGTGATGCACCTGCAGAAGGAGATCACCAAATGTCTGGAATTTAAGTGAGTTGGAGAACAGGGCTTTGGAAAAATGATTTGTGGGCAACTGCCTTTTCCTTGTAGCTCTGTTAGCAGTTTGTTTCAAAAGAAATCAATGAGCCGGAGACTGCAGGATCTGGGAGAAGGGTGACTCGTTCACTGTCAGTGGGAGAATTGGAAGTAGTTGCTTCCGGCTGCACAAAGAATCTCAGAAACCTGTCTGACCCTTTTGAGTTTTGAGCTCTGCACCTGGTAAAGGTAGTTGTCCCTCCCCAGCAGAGACCTTTGGTCCATCTTCAGTTCCTATTATTACACCAGTTCAATTCCTAGAGCACTTCCAGTAACATCCTTTTTACCTTTTGGTCTCGTTTTCCTTTTTGAAGTTCTAGGTGTTCGTTTTTGCAAATGGATTTTGGTCTTTGGAACCTGAACTTCTTGCAGCTTAGCTGTCTTGAGGTGAACAAACTATAGTTTCTTAGTGTATTCTTAAAATATAATGTGTCTTGAAAAAACCGAGGTGAGAGCTGAGAAGTAGTGTAGACTGGGGAAGAAGAGGAAAATGTTCTGGCATAGTCAGACCTGTTTGTGCAAACAAAGGCAGATTTTATTTGTAATAAACTTAGAATGAGGTAGACACGTTGGACACTGGGTCCAATGAATTTTTAATAATGGTAATGATCTGATTTTTTGAGAGCCATCTTTTTCTACATCATCAATTTATCACATAATAATACTAAATACTAATAGAGGTGAAAGCTGTATAGGTTCTGTACCTGTGTCAATAGTATTGTACCATTGTCTGGTTCCTGATTTTATGTTATGCCTAGATAAGGTATTGTCATTGGGAGAACACAGGGGAAGTGTACGTGGGAGAAGCTCTCAGTACTACATTTGAAACTTCTTAAGAGTCAAACTATTTGAAAATAAATGAAAGGTGACAGTACAGTGGACCTTAGGCCTGTGCGGAGCAGGTGACCACATGGGAGGAACTTGGGTCCTGAAATGAGACAGTTTGGGTTCCATTCCCTCCTCTGCCACTCACTAACTGTGTGACATGGGGCTAGTTGGTTATCTGTGGAAGTTTCTATGTCATTTGAAAAATGAAGGTAAAATCCCCACCTCATAGTTATTATGAGAATTAAGTGAAGTGAGGATGGGGTATAGTGGAGCTTTTGACATGGTAGCCGCTATTATCACCATCATCTGTCCACAGCTGACTACTGTGTTAATGCAGCAGAGTATGGGACTTCTTTCTGTCTATACACATGCATGTCACTATAAATGCATCAGTCAAAGCCTCTCAATCTTTTTCCTATCTAATCCTGCCATGTTGGACTTAAATTCAGTTAGTGTTTTGAATTTATGTTTATTCCTGTTGAATGACATTTCTTGGTTTCAGCCTGGCAGTCTAGACTTATATTGTGGTGTTTTGTTTGACTCTTCTGTCTCAGCTTCCTTGCTCAGCTTGGGGACATTTGTAAATTTGATCAGCATCCCTTCCTTTAGTTAATTCCTGGATACAAAATATTAGCATGGATAAGGATCCTGTGGCATATCACCAACTACTTCTCTTCACACTGAAACATCTAATGAGCATTTACTGATAATGGATTCCAGGTTCCTGGACCAGGAACTTAGTAAGCATAAGTATGACCAGGGCTTAGTAAGCATATATGGGGTAACTGTGGGGGTGTTTAAGCGACAATTTGTGTTCCTGAGAATGGCAACTTGACACCTAGTTTTTGTCTTCAGGTCAAAGCATGAAGAAATTGATCTGGTCAGTTTAGAGGAGTTTTATAAAGAAGCCCCTCCAGATATCAGCAAGGCTGAAGTCACCATGGGAGACCCTCACCAGCAAACCCTTGCACGTCTGGACTGGGAGCTAGAGCAGCGGAAAAGGTAGTTTCCCCTTTTATCTTGTTAACCTGTGCAAACATGGACCTTTAGACAGGACACAGTGATTTGTCATGACCCCATGAATAGACAGCAAATAGTCTCTAAGACCAAGTCCCATTTTATGATTGATTCACACCTGGTAGTTCAAACTTCACCAACCACATCATGGGTGGGTTTGGAATTGCTTGACACTGTTAACAGAAAGTTAGAGTAATTCCCTTTAAAGTTTTAATAACTGGACCTAAATGCCTTTTGTACCATAAATCAATTATTTTTGCCTTTTTCCCTATAGTTTCATAAAACTTTACAAACATTGTTTTAGAAATTTGTACATTCTTGTATATAGAGAAATTATTGATATAATTCACATAATCATTCCCTTATTGGATTGATCTTTTAAATTGCTTTCATTTTAAGCTATCACAAGTGATGACTCTAGGCTCAATTTTTATATATAGGACTTTTCTATAATAAAGAACTTTTATTAACCAAGTGCAATGGAGTGTCTGTACTAAGTAGTTTAACTTTTTTTTTTTAAAGATTTATTATTTATTATTTATTTATTTATTTATTTATGCAAGCACTGGGTACAGTCAGAAGTGTGGGAGGATAAGAGAATTCACCAGAGCCAGAGCAGGGAGCAGAGCAGGCAGAAGGACCGAAGTACACTGCTGAGGGGAGCAGCCGGCGGCAGGAGAGGTCTGCGCTCCATGTGGGACCCTCCTCCGGTGGCCTGGGAGCAGCCGGGGATTGAACCAGCACTGCAGAGGCTGCGGGCAGCTTCGCAAGCCAGCGCGCAACCACTGCGCCACCGGGGAGGCCCCTGTACTAAGTAGTTTAAGCTATATCTTTCTAGATATAGTGTATCCTGTTTTTTCATACCGAACTTTCCACAGTTGAATCCCTTTCATATTTGTATGAGAATTTTAGGGCTTTTGGTTGACATATCTGCTCTTTTTCCTTTGGAGAAGTAGCTGTTTTTATTTTTGCCATTTTCTATTGCACAGTCTATTTGGTAACTTTGGTCCACCTGATACATGTGCTAAGTATTCAGTTGGTTCCTAGAGAATTGGTGTCAGCTTTTAGCAGGTGGGGCTGGCCCCTTGTTCCTCTGTGTGCTATATACTCTGGCCTTGGCATAGGTAAACCATGAGTGTTACGTTCCTGTGGCACTAGTCTGGAATCCATCCCTACTATGCTCTACTGAGGCTGATCTGTGAACCTTATTTGGATCCTGTAGCTGCTAGGTTCACATTTTTGTGAAAGGTTTGGGTCTAGCCTCTGAGTCAAGAAATGAAGCATACAATGACATGAGACTATAGTATTGATAACGCGTAGTGGTCATGGCAGAGCTTCTGGAGTCAGAGGTATGGATTCAAAACCCAGCTGTGTGCTTATAGTCAGCTGGATTACCTTGGGCAATTTACCTACCTCCTTCAGCCTTCATTTCCTCCTTTAAGGATAACAAGAGGCACTATTTTTCAGGGTTTTCATAAGGATTAAATGTGACAGTGCTTGTAAAGAATTCCCCAAGGTGCTTGACATGTAGTAAGTGCTAGGTAAACTTTAACAGTTAATTGCAACTGCTATCAGGAGGAGTCTGACAGTGACAGGCATGTCAGAGTATCCCTAGGGAGCATCTGGTGACAGTGTTCTGTCCTCCCCGAACAGGCTGGCAGAGAAGTACCGAGAGTCTCTGTCCAACAAGGAGAAGATCCTCAAAGAGATTGAGGTGAAGAAGGAGTACCTGAGCAGCCTCCAGCCTCGCCTCAACAGCATCATGCAGGTGAAGGCCTCCTCCCCCTACCCCAAGTCTCTTGCTTTGCCTTCCCACCTAGTGAGTCTTTGCTGAGTGCCACCAGTGGTCACATTTCCCTTAGGTTTTGCTAGATCTATTAGGGCACAGTGCAAGAATGGTCCTGTCTGCAGTCATACCCAGCTGGTGTGATAAGGTTGTATCCTAGGTGAAAGAAATTGCTGGCCAGCTGATTTCAGGAACATATCCACACATTTACTTGAGTGTTATCTTTTTCACCCAGAATCTCTGCCATGTAAAACACTTTTTCACAGACTCTGTTCTGTTTACTTCCTACATCGTTCCTACCAGTCCCAACATTTCCAGCATCTAAGCATGCTTCCATGGACATGAGATCCCTTTGATTGCATCTCAGGGGAAGACGTCTCTGAAAGTCTTCTAAAAAGACCTTTACTCATATTTGACCTTAAGTAGAAAAGTTCTCATTTTACCTGTAAAATCTAATGTCTTTCTCTGGATAAGTAACTTGATTTTTGTTTACTTTGTGAAGCCAGATTTGGCCTAAATCCTTATAGCTTTATGAAGCAGTGTGAATGGCTAGTCTGGATGAACTTTGTAAAAACATCCCAGAGAACATAAACTCGTTCAAAAATTCGTAAATAAATTCACTCTAGTGGGATTTGGCTAGGTCTGTATTTCCTCTCTTCAACTGTAGGCATAGAATGAGAATTGTTAACAAAAATACTCTCCGGTTGTAATAATGTGGAATTTAGACTGGGGTTGTCTTGAAATCTATAGATCACTTTGGGAAGAATTGACATCTGGCAATAGCAAGTCATCCAGGCCATTAGCGTGGCATATATCTCCATTCATTTAGATCTTTGTTTTCTTAGCTATTTGAGTAGCGGCATACATGCTTTTATTCTTAGATATTTGATGTTTTCTTGATGCTGTTGAAAATTTTTTTGAGTTCATTTTCTTATTGTTTGTCGCTGGTATAAAGAAGTAAAACTTTTTTATTGATCTTTTAGCCACCTATAATATCTTTTAGTTTATCATGTACCACTTTCATAACTAAAAAACTATAAATGGTAACTAAGCAGCTATGTAGACTGCCTGAAAAGGAAAATCAAAATTTCTCCTTATTGTATTCAGGCTTCCCTCCCCGTGCAAGAGTACCTCTTCATGCCATTTGACCAGGCTCACAAGCAGTATGAGACGGCCAGACACCTGCCACCTCCTCTCTATGTCCTCTTTGTTCAGGCCACTGCATATGGGCAGGCCTGTGGTGAGTATAGGGGCTGGGTGAGAGGAGGAACTTGTGGGAGCAGCAGCTGTGGCTGATTGAGTCATTTGGAAGCACTTCCTGTTGAGGAACAGCCCCTGGCCATCCTCAGAAGCCCTCAGGTGACAGCCGCTGCCTCCCCTTTGCACCACCCAGCATGGCAGCTTTGGCCAGCTGGCCTGAGGCTGAACTAACCTGATGGGCATTTCAGTATGGATGGCTTGGAATCTTGATGAGCTTGTCTGGTCAGCTGTTGGGTGCAGTGCCCAGGCAGCCTGTGGGGCTCACACATGCTCTCCCCAACCAGGCGCGCTTGGCAGGTGAATTGCATTTCTTGCGCTGCATCAGAGAGATGGCTTGGTGAACTTGGGTCCCAGCTAGCTCTCCCAGGCTTTCACCTGCCTTGAAACTGGCTGCATGTTGTTTGTTACCAAGTATCAGCAAGTGAGAAGCATCCTCCTGATGCTTAAAGGCAACTTGTGACTCCACTAGGATTTTGCTTTGTTTTTGGAGATCTACCTCTTGCCCTACTGCAGCTTTCACCTAATAACCTAGACTTTCCTTTCCTGCCCCCTTCTCACCCCCACATCAGACAGATGTATAATGCACCATGCATGCCTCTTCACCCAGCCATGGGCATTGACACATGACTGTCTTTCTTCTTGTGTCTTCCTGGTCCTTCTGGTTTTCTCTCTCCCTTTCCTTCTCACACCTGTTTCCATCATCAGCTCATATGAAATCCTCCCAGCCCCCTAGACAGGGTGAGTAATTTTCTTTTCTTTTGTGTTTATAGTCTAGCCTGTTTCCATTCCTGTTTTACTGTAGAATTCTAGGATTTAACTACTCAAAAGAACATCTGGCCTTTGCAGGCAGTTAATGGGGACAACTCTTTTAGGGTGAGGTTCTTGTAGGATTGTCATAGTCGTTTATGGCCTCTGGGAATAGTATCTCAATGACCTGGCATTTGGGGGAATTTTTCATTCCTCGTTAGTGCATTTGCACACACCCTTTCAAGCTCTATGATTATCTGCATACCCTTTTGAATGGAGGAGTGGAGGTACTCTGTGTGACTTCCAAGAATTAGACCCAAGGAGTTACACAAATGGAGTTACACAAAGGCAGCCTAAGGCATCGCTTATTGAGGGGTCAGGCCTAGTGCATGGAACAGGCTGCTTAGCTTCATGCTTGATATTAAGTTCAAGTTGTGTAGACCTGATCTTGAATCATAGCTGATCTATTTCCTAGCTGTTGTATCTGACTTTTCTAAGCCTTAACTTTTGCATCTGTAAATGATTGTGGTCACTACAGTGATTATAGGATTGTTGTGCAAATTAAAAATTAATTTTTAAAAATAATGTTATAATTTAAAATATATGCAACAGCCCATTCAGTCCTTGCCACCCAGCAGCTGGGCAGCTATTTCTCAAATACCCATTCCATAGATGTAGAAACTGAGGGTCAAAGCAGTGACATAACTTGCTCCATTAAGTGTTTGGGTATTGGTGGGGCGGAGACTCAGGCCCGGGACTGAACTAGAGGATCCAAGTTTCTACCCACTGTTTGAGTACTTCCCAGTTAAATAGAACAGTGCCAGCCAGGTGTGTGGTGTAGTGCAGAGTAGAAAATAAGCACTGAAATGAAGGATACTGTTTATGAGATGTGGACAGTTATGGGCTTCCAGATGAGAACGTAAGACAGTTGGCAGAAGTGTATCATATGGCTTTAGGCCCAAGGTTTGGATTTCTGTACCTTGGTGCAAACCTGGAGAAAAGGCATTCACCCTGGTCTCAGGTGATGGCTTGTCCGGGAATCTGCACTTTGTTCTCAGTAAGTCATAGGGAAAAAGACAAATTTCCTATCTTGTCCCTCTTCATCTAGAGAAGGGGCCTTTGCCCTTCTAGCCCCAGTCAGTAAGGAGCTGTGACTAAAGCAGAAGAGGTACAGTCCCAGAGCTGGCTGCTTGTGTAGCTTAGCTCCTTCCCTTGGCGGCTTTCACATGAAGCTCCTTTTTGCTCCCAGATAAGACATTGTCTGTGGCGATCGAAGGCAGTGTGGATGAAGCCAAGGCTCTGTTCAAGCCTCCTGAAGACTCCCAAGGTAATGTGGTAATTGGGTGCCTCCTCCCAAGTCTTCTGTAGCAGTTACAGGGATACCATCCAAGGGCAGTGCTTGTCCTTTGGAAATAAGCTGTACTGATTCTGTGTAGCTGGGAGCTTTGCTTGTCTTAATGCTCAGGGGTCATTGGGGAAGAGCTCAGTTCCCAGAGTCACTGGCGCTTTGGACTTCAGTCCTGCCACTCACTGACCCAAGAGAAGCTCTTTAACAGTTCTGAGCAATTTACGCAGCTGTCAAGAATATAGTAATACCTTTTGTAAAATATTATGTGGACTAAATGATTAGGTCATGCTTGGAAAGCCCTTAGCATCCCCTGCACATTGCAACTCCCCAAATGATGTCTGCTGCTGCTATGATGGTAGATTTGTAACTATTACTGCTTACTGTTACTAATAGTACTATATTACCACCATCACCAATAGAGGGTCTTTTGGTTCATAGAATGACATTAAAAGCACTTTAAAAACCTTGGGTGGTAGGATTATAGGTAATTTTTATTTTTGCCTTGTGTTTTCTATATTGAATAAGCAGCTGCAAATTATTTATTCTCAAGAAACCATTTACAAAAGACAGAGAGTATGGGTCTCTGTATCCCATGGGTTGGGGCTCTTTAAAGAACTTTGCAAGCCCCCTCACCTCTAGCTGCCTTCTCTCTGGCTACAGACGATGAGAGCGACTCAGATGCTGAAGAGGAGCAGACCACGGTGAGAGCCATTTCCTCTCGAGGGGGTGCCAAGAAGCTACACTGGGGCCTGCTAGTTGGCAGGTGCCATCCTCCCTAGAAGCAGAAAGAGGTTTGAAAGAAGGGCCTCTGGGAACCTGGCAGCGGGGTACCTGTGAAGCAGCAGGGTCCAGGAAGAGTGCTGAGGCCCTGGCAGGCAGGGAGAGGGGAGGGGAAGAGTCGTACTGTGAGTGCTCATCAGCTTGGCTCTTTGTCTTTGTCCAGAAACGCCGACGACCCACACTGGGAGTTCAGTTGGATGATAAACGCAAGGAGATGCTGAAGAGGCACCCACTCTCTGTCATGCTCGACCTGAAGTGTAAAGGTCTGGCTCCCCTTATTTTAGGGGATCCTGTAGCACCTAAGAATTCAGAGATTTGCAATTTGCATAGGATCTAGTCAGTCAGGGCCTCTACCCAGGAAAAGATTTTGGTTTCTTTTTCCTCATTGTTCTGTATGGAATTTGATTTTCTTTTCCCCAAGTCATAGCCATAGCAACAAAATTCTAGATACATATGGGGTGTTTTATAAAACTATTGATTGATATATCTTTCTGAATTTGAATAATCATCTATCCAGAAAAAGTTGGAAAAGTATGCAGGTTTTGAATAATATGTCCAACATGCTTAATTTTATAAATACAAGTAGAACTTTGTGTTCCTGTAAGACTGTTTTGAATCTAGTTTTGAAAGGATTAAGGAGCACATGATAAAGCTCTATCAGAAGTTGTTTTTTCTCACCCCATACTCCCAGAACTTTTTCTTGGTCTTACATCTAAGGACAACCAGTGTTTCAGCTTCTTATGTATTTTCTAGAACTATCCTATGCATTTAGAAGCTTTTATACACGTGTACGGTCATCCCCTCCACCTTTAGTTTTTTACACAAATGGAACCACTGTACTTTCTTATCTTTTTTTTTTTTTTAACTTTTTGAGATGATTTTATACTCACAGGAGAGTTTCAATGAAGTAGACTCACAGTTCTTATATAGTCTTCACCTAGCTTCCCCCAATGTCAGCCTCAATCACAACACAGTTATTAAAACCAGGGTTAATTTCATTGGTACAATATTATTAACTACAAAATTTGTTCACATTTTTTCTGGTTTTTCCTTTTTATGTTGCAGGATCTAATCCATGATCTCACATTACTTTTAGTTGTCATATCCTTAGTCTCCTCCAGGCAGTAGTTCCCCAGTCTTTGCTTGTCTTTCAAGACCTTGATGCCTTGAAGACAAAGCTTATATATTATGTAGAAAGACTCTCAGTTGGGCTTACCTGGTGTTTTTTCCAGGTAAGACTAAAATTAATTTTGGGGCGGAATACCATAGGTGTGTTGTTTATGATCATGTCACGCCATGGTACATGGTAATACTGTCTTATTACTGGTGATGTTAGTCTTGAGCACTCTGTTTCCATATTGTATTTGTTAAAAGTAGTCTCTCATTCCCACTCACATTCAGGGGGAGGAAAATGAAGTTCCACCTCTTGGAGGAGGAGTAGCAGCCAAGAATTTGTAGATCTTCTGCCTCTTTTGCTCAGCATTATATTGCCGTTGAGTGTTTGGTATATAATTCCTTTCTCCAAAGCTGCCTTTCCTTTCTCCAGTGCTGTTGACTGTGCTATAATAGTTGACTTATAAATGATCTCTTCTATTTCTCTTCCTCCTCCAGATGACAGCGTGCTTCACCTGACTTTCTACTACCTCATGAACCTCAACATCATGACTGTAAAAGCCAAAGTGACAACTGCCATGGAACTGATCACCCCCATCAGTGCAGGGTACTAGACGGGTGCTATGGGAGGGGGGTGTGATGAGAGCCTCAGTGCTGGGCTGTCTCAGTTCCTCCATTGTCAGACTGAGGAAGTTTACGCTTACGTTGGTTTGTGTTGTCTTGTCCAGGCAACCAGAAGTTCTGGCACATCACTAGTATTTATAACACTCACTGACTTTAATTTGTGAAGTTTTCTTAACTACAAAGCAGATGATAAAAATGACTGCAGTAGGTGGGGCTGAACACCAGCTTTTTATAACAAGTGGAGAGAGTGTGAATATAAAAATGAGATTGACCCGATGCTTTCAGGTTGACAAATTTAGGCCTCTCTCTTCCTTTTCTCATTCTGTTCCAATTACGTCTCAGCTTGTATCTTTTCTTCACAGTGGTGGGTCTCTGTTTAGGTTTTGAAGAGGGCAAATGAGCAGAGGCATAGTATTGACAATCTCAGGTCACATATCATCCCTAGAAGACCATGACCACAGCAGTCTTGTTCCACAGTCAGGAGTGGGAAGAAAGGCGGAGGGCTGGGGCTGGGGGTGTGAACTAGCCTCACATGAAAGAGCACTGCCCTTGGCCGTCACTCCTGGCCCTGCCATTTTTACTTTCACTGACTGTAGAAAGAAGGGAGGCACAGGTCAGTGCCTGGAGGGTGGGGCTCTTTCTGCAACTGCCTCATGATGGCAAGTCCCTGGGTTTTAGACCCTGCACTTATAGACAGTAGCATTGGACCCTGGGCTTGAGAGTGTTGTTGGATGACCCAGGGGCATTCTGTATAAAAGTGACTGCCCCTGCCCCCCATTAGAGGGAGCCATGGCTTGTTGCTTCAGAGTACCTGGTTACTCCACTCATCCTAGGCTCTTGGTCCAGTGAGCAGCTTGAGAGCCCTGTCCTTGGTGGGGCTTCTGTCATGAGTGTTCTGCCTGCTTTTCTCTGCTAATAACGGCTTCAGGCTGGCTTCAGTGCACGCTTAACTCCAGCTCCTTTCAAACCTTTCCATGTACAATGACTGGGGCAGTGATGCAGACTGATTATGAGCTTGGAGCAGAGTTCTAGCAAGTACCAGGCCTGCCACTTAGAGCTGTATGTGTACCTTTAGCCAAGTTTCCTGGCCTCTGAGTCTGTTTGCTAATTTTGTATTTGCTAACGGTAATATCCCCTCCCAGGTGCTTGTGAAGAGGCAGGTCAAGTGCTTAGTATAGGTGGACACACTGTCATTTAGAAAATGACAGCTGTGTTTATCATCCTCAACTCATTTAACTCTCACAGTGGCTCTACCAGGAGAGGAAACTGAGGCTCTGGAGAATTGAGGGACTGCATCAAGATCACAGGCAGTGAGTAGAGAGTGTTGATTTGAAGTTGGCCAGGCCAGTGTACCAGTGTACTGTACTACTGTCATTACCAGGTGGGCCCTAGCCCCCAAAGAGGGAGGAGACACGAAAGGAAATACCCTGAACCAGGATTAGGTCTTCAAGGGCCTTCAGTTGTTTTCTAGCTCATCCTTCTATTTCACAGATGGAGAAACTGGAGTCTAAGGGCTATATGACCAGTTATTGCAACCCTGGGCCTAGGGCTTCAAACTCCCAGCCCAGAGTCCTTAGCCCATGTACATACTGCATTGGCTTCTGAAGACACCATCCTGGTATATATGGTTTTACTTATGTACTAAAACATGGGAATACTTTTTTCTTTTAATATGATCTTGTATCACAGTAATTCCTTAGTGTCATTAGTAGTCAGAGTTCAAATTTCCCTGATTTTCTCAAAAGGTTTTTTTATTAGCTCTAGTTTTAACAGTTTGGGTTTTATTTTATTTTTATAGTTTGGCTTTAAATCTGGATATTTGTAAGGTCCATATGTTGTAGTTGGGTAAGGTGTCTCAAGTATCTTTTCGTCTCAGTGTTCCTACCATCTTTTTATTTTATTAAGGGAAGTAGGTGGTTTGCTCTGTAGGTTTCCCCTAGTCTGCATTTGATTCCCTGAATTACAGTTTAGCTTGTTATTTCTTCCCCCTGGATGTCCTATAAATTTCTAGAGTTAGAGGCTTGATTGGATTCCATTTAGAATTTTGGGAGTTTCTGGGAAGGATGGTGTCATAGATATTGTTGGGTGTTTCTCTCAGGAGGCACAGACTCTATTTTTGTTATGTAAGCATTGATGACTGTTGAAAAGATCTACTGATTCATTAGGGAATTAATGGGGTTTTTTTGTTTGTTTTTAAATCTTTTTCATTATTTTTTTAAGATTTATTTTATTTATACAAGAACTGGGGTACAGGCCAGAGCACAGGAGGGTGAGAGAATTCACCAGAGACAGAGTGGGGAGCAGAATAGGCAGATGGACTGAAAACACTGCTGAGGGGAGCAGCAGGCCAGACAGGAGAAATCTGCTGAGCCATGTGGGTATTCTCCCTAGCCGGCCAGGAATAGAACCCATGCTGCACAGGCTGTGGACACTCCACAGTGCAGTGCTCAACCCTCTGTGCCACTGGGGAGGCCTGGAAATTAATGTTTTTAATACAAACATTTTAATCAGAATTATAGCAATGGGTTGAATTTTCTCAAGAGATTATTTTCTGGAATGATCTTTATTAGACCATTTTAATTCATTGATCAATTTTTCATTAATCTGTTTTTAATCTTTTTCATTTTTATTTCACAAGGTTTCTTCAATCCCTTATTTTCCATTATTTTTTTCTATATTGAAATTTTTTATAGCAAGTGTTTGGATAATTAAATCATTTTTTTGTTTAGAAGTTTTATAACTATAGATAACATTCCCTTTTATATCCATTATTTTTACCAAATTCAGTTGTTCTGAGCCACATTTGAACTGTAACTTTTATCAAAGAGAGTTAATTCTTCCATTAGATTTTGTCAGTTAAAAACCTTTGTTATGAACAGCATTTTTAGTTTTACCTGTTCTGCTTTGATTGCTTTAAGCTATTAGTAATGATTGCTAAGCATTGGCAAAAAGACTGAACATTTTTATTTGTTTTCTAGCCAATTTTCATGTGAGGCAACAAAGGGGTCTGAAATGCATGTGGGTAGGAAGTCTCTGAGCAAGACAAAAGAGGAAAGAGTCTGAAGCTGCCATTGCTCCTGTGTTAAGTTCCAAAGACCACATGCAGGAACTGAGAGCAGCAGGGACAGCCTGTCCTCCTGAGTTACTGTTGATACTATCCCTGGAAAGATGGAGGAGCCCTCCCCACCCCCAGTTGGTTGAGGGAAAGAGTAGGTCTTCTTGTCCTTTGATCAGATTGCTCCATTATCTCCCACCCAGCCCCAGCCCCATACCATTTCTTCTCTGCTTGTCATGATTAATTACAGGCTGTGCCCTAACCATTTCAGGTGGGTGGCGGTAGTGTCGCTGTCACTCTCTGCTTATAGTACTGGGTCACCTTGTCTCTAGTGAATGCAATAATATCTTTTCTGACAATATAAAAGGGAGCTTTTTATGTGGTTAGCATGAAATTTGATCAAAGCAAGATACAGCAGCAAAGCTGTACACTTGTTCTCTCTGGGACAGAGAGGGATCTGTTATACTCCTGTGAAGACTGTAACTACTTCTATTTCTGGTGTCACAGTGCTTTGCTCCCCTGAGGTAAGGCCCTTGTCACATTTAACTCTTGAAGGGATAGGTTTTTTTTTTTTAAATTGGAGGTTAAGAATGCTATCTTTGATTAGATGATGCATATCCTGACTTCAGCACTTACTAGCTATGTGACCTTGGACAAGCCATATCCTTCAGTGCCAGAGTTTCTCTTTTATAAAATGGGAATGACCCTGAAACTCTAGTGGAGGATGAGTAAAGCATGTACATACCTCAAGGTGTGAACCTGTACCCCTCAAGTAACTAGATTTGTAAACAGGTGATTAATCAATATGACAAAATTTTTTAAAAATGGAACTGGTATTACTCTCACCTCATAGAAAGCATTCACTAAATGTGGCATTGATCATCAGGGCAAAGGGACAAATGCCCAAGTCTGTCTCGAGGTAAGGTGTTGGCTGGCATCTCACTACAGTCTTTTCCCTTTCAGTGACTTACTGTCTCCAGATTCAATCCTGAGTTGTTTGTATCCTGGGGATCATGGAAAGAAAACTCCCAATCCAGCCAACCAGTATCAGTTTGATAAAGTTGGGTGAGTCAGCGGCCTCTCTGCTTCTGAGATTCTCTGTGACTCATATCCAACCCTGGAGAGTTGTTGGGGCCAGAGGCCTCCCAGGGGGCAGAAAGGAAAATAGGGTGGGAGGAACTGCTGTGTCAAGAAGAAAACGCATGCCCTAGCCTGCTTATGAGACCGAGGAAGGTCATGGAAGGGTAGGAAATGGTAGAAGGACCAAAACTTGGAGAACATGACACAATGAAAATGTTTAACATTTTAATTCTCTGAGAAATAAAAATTTTTAAATATTTTATAAATCAACATGCCAATGAAGAGATCAAGTTCACTGATGTTTTACTGAGATTTACTTGTGAGTTGAAGACTGCTGGGGGAAAAGAGAAAAAATGAATATGGGAGAGATGAAACTCACAGTAAGGAATAGATGAAATTAAGAGACTGCTGACAGCCTGGCTGAGCCTGCAGGACTGGCCTTTTTGGGTGGGATGAGAGAACAGGAACAGGGTCATATCCTGGGAGCATTGCAGAAATCAATGACTTAAGAAATAATTTTATCCTATGTTATTTTCTGTAGCATCCTGACTTTGAGAGACTACGTACTTGATCTTGGTCATCCTTATTTGTGGGTACAGAAACTGGGTGGCCTCCACTTCCCCAAAGAGCAGCCCCAGGTGTGTATACTGGGCCAGTCTCCATGCCTGAGGAGCTCTATTTCTTCTGTCAACTCTGGAAGGACTTTTCATAGCCTTGGAACTTGGGACTAGTGGAATGCTTTCTCTTGGGGCTATCACCTGTCCTCCCTCCACTCAGGACCCTAAAATGTCTGAGGCCCTTAAGTGTCTAGGTGCCTTTTGTCTTCTTCCTGAGCCAAAGCACATTGGGTCCTTGCTCTGGGTATAGCATGGCCCTGCTGCTTCTTGGTCATGTGTCCAAAGACACCAATAGTGAGATGTATTCAGAACCCCAGGGCATTTGGCACCTTAGAAAAAGGTGCCTTTTCTCAGGAGCTCTCGAGAACCCAGCAGCTGCATCAGTGTCTGGGACTTGGTGTCTGTCCTGTGACAGCAGGTAAACTGTTGCTCATGGAAAGTGTCCAGCTCTGGACTTGGGTGGCAGGCAGGTCCTAGGAAAGAGGTGGTGCCTGGGGGAAAAGATATGGAGCACTGAATATGCGCTGCTCACTGTCATCCACAGCACACAGTGATCGCTGACCACTCACTGAGTGCCAGCCATATGGAAACCACTATGAAACTGCTGAAGACCAGAGTGCAGTCCCGACTGGCCCTCCACAAACAGTTTGCATCCCTGGGTAAGCTGGTGCGTTAGGACGATGACTTGAAAGCCACCCAGAACACTGGGACAACAGTTACTTAGCCCTTCACTCACTTTTTCTTAAATCCTGATGACAGTCAGAGAAGACTCTATTCCTAGCCCGTGCTGAACAGAGTTGCTGGTGGGACTTCTAGGCACTTGCTAACACAAGTTAGCAGATTGGCAAAGAGGAGCCTGTCTTAGGTTATGCATATCCAATTTTGATGTGCATTTGACAGATAATTATAGGATCCTGATTCATGCCAGGAAATAAGCATAGCATTGGAAAAATGTGAACACAGTAGAGGCAGCTCTACCTGCATGGATCTTGTATTCAACTTATTTGAATACTGTCCAGAGATCCACCCCCTCAGCTCTCACTCAAGACCTACTGAACTGATACTTTCCAGAGTGAGGCTGAGCCCATGTCTTTTCCATAAATTCCCAGGTAATTCTAATGAACCACTGACTCACATGGCGGCCATATCGGGGCTTTTTGTTGTTGTTTATTTGTTGATTAAATTCTTGTGAAGGGCTTACCGTGTGCAGGTGTTGCAAGTTATGGAGGGAGGGGTTAAGATTTTCCTGATATAAAAGAATCATTGTCAGGAAAGACATTGGGTTACGAGGACCCATCTGGACACCCCACTCCTCCAGGCAGTTCTTGATCTTTCAAGGGCAGCGTTGCTTGCTCCCCATCAGCATTGCTGAGTTTGTTTTGTCCCGGGATTGGTTGATTGTCATCCTCCACAGCATTTACTGTGCTGGCATATTTGCTTATTGAAACGCCAGCAGGAATTTACCCTGGAGCAGTTCTCCAGCTCTTTTCCCTTAGAGGAACTGACACAGAACGCTTCAGTCCTTTTCTTCATCAAGGTCAGCTATGAAAACAGCCCTTTCGGCTGTTTGATCTAATTAATAGTCAGCGCTGTGGAAGTGCTGTCGCTGGTTCTGGCTGCAGGGGTTTTGTTTTTCTGGCTATCATTTGCATTGAGGTTAAGGTTACGTGAACCCTGGTGCTGGATACAGCCACAAGCACAGCATTGGGTGAAGGGCAGGTTGGGTGCCTCCAGTCCTGACACATATTGACCTGGGCACCTACTGAGTACAGGGTTTACCTGGACAGCTGTCGGTGCTATTTGAGTGCTCCAGAGGATACTAGTTACTCAGCTATGGCACCTGATTTTCATCTGTGACACCACCTGTCTTGCTCTCTTTTAGAACATGGCATTGTGCCAGTTACTAGCGATTGCCAGTACCTCTTCCCTGCAAAGGTTGTCTCTCGCCTGGTGAAGTGGGTGACTATTGCCCCTGAGGATTACATGGTAGGTAGAGGAGTGACCAGTCACCCTTTGGGATTGCAGGTCCACATCACCTTTCAGCTCTTGGCTCTCCACCTAAAGGGCGGGTGATTTGACTAGAGGAGCTGGCAGTTCATTTCTTGTCTGTGGTGACTTCTAGGAGCTGCATTTCACCAAAGACATTGTGGAGGCAGGGCTGGCTGGGGATACCAATCTCTACTACATGGCACTCGTGGAAAGGGGCACAGGTAATGGTCTGCTCATCACTGTGGTTCTAGATAAGAGGAGTCACTAAAAAAAAAAGTTCTTGGGTTTACACAAAGGAAGCAGAAGATCCTAGAATCCTGCCATGGGAACTTAGCAAATGGTAGTGATGGTGAGAGCCACCATTCAGCAAGGACTTGTTCTACAGCATAGTCACATAGGTGCTTTAGCTTATTTGGTCCCAACGACAGTCCTGGGGGTGGTTATAATCCCATGTTATAGGTAAGGAAATTGAGCTTCATCACGAACACAATCTGAGCCTGAGCTCTTAGTCCCTTTGCTTTACCACTTTCTAGAATCAGATACCTGTTCCTCCCTGTCTTCATGGAGACAGGAGAGGTCTGCTGTGCCATGCAGGTAGCTCCCTGGCCGGCTAGGGATTGAATTCGTGCTGCAGAGGCTGCAGATAGCTTCACAGTGCTGTGCTTAACCCCTTGTGCCATCAGGGAGGCCCCTCTCCTGTTTTTAAAAATATATTTTTTAAAAGATTTGTCTTATTTATTTATGCATATAAGAACTGGCATGTAAGCCAGAGATGCGGGGAGTGAGAAGATTCACCAGCTCTCTTACCCTGTTATTTGAATTAATGATGGGTTGAAACATCTTTTCCACCCCCATGAACAGCAAATAAGGAATAGTATTTGTAGCCCACCGGTAGAGAGGATATATGTCATCCTGTTATTATCACCAGAGAAAACATGAGTAAGTTCAAAACTACAAATATTTCACTCAGTGATAATGAGCACAGCTTTGACCTCCAGCAATTCTGGCAAACTCAGCATTGCTCGGAGCCTCAATTTCCTTATATGTAAAATAGGGCTGATAATTGTGCTACGCATCTTACAGAATCATGGTTAAGATGAAATAAAACATGCATGAAGGGCTTAGCACACAGTAAAAATACAGTAAATACTGTTTAGAGTAAGTTAACTACTCTATAAATGTTGGTTATTTTAAGAAAAGTTTTCACAAACTAAATTTTTTAAAAAAGGAACAGAATATTGTATATACATGTTGACACAGCAATTGATTTACATCTGAAACCTATAAAATGTTATAAACCACATTATTTTTTTTTTTAATTTTTTTTTTTTAATAGAGGCATGTTTTTATTTATTTATTTGTTTGTTTGTTTGTTTTGTTTATACATGCACTGGGTACAGTCAGAAGCGCGGGAGGGTGAGAGAATTCACCAGAGCCAGAGTGGGGAGCAGAGCAGGCAGAAGGACCTAAGTACACTGCTGAGGGGAGCAGCGGGCGGCAGGAGAGGTCTGCGCGCCATGTGGGACCCTCCTCTGGTGGCCGGGGAGCAGCCGGGGATTGAACCAGCGCTGCAGAGGCCGCGGGCAGCTTCGCAACCCAGCGCTCAATCGCTGCGCCACCAGGGAGGCCCTAAACCACATTATTTTTTTAACAAAACCTATGAATAACAGAATAAAGAAAATATATTTGATACAACAGCTAACACACAATATTATTGAAATAAAAGAACAAATTGTAAGTCTTCATGTGGAAAAATTCCCAACTTGCTGGTAAATGAAGAATTTTTTGGACAAACCCAGTATGGAACAGAATCTGGGAGTCCCCGTATTTCTGTGTCCTTGGAGGAACCAGAGTTACAGGACTTGACCACATTCTAAACCTGGCAGTTTCACTTAAGAGATTTCAGGACAAATGTATAGTCAGTACCAGTATCAGTGGGACTATTATGAGACATCTGAGCCAACCTCAGGAGTCCAGTAGAGAGGGTGACTGCCAAACTTGGTTTCAGAACTGATTTTGCCTCCTCTTGTCTCTTCTCAGCCAAACTCCAGGCCGCTGTGGTTCTGAACCCAGGTTACTCCTCTATCCCACCCATTTTCCAGTTGTGTCTGAACTGGAAAGGGGAGAAAACCAATAGCAATGATGACAATATTCGGGTAAGGCCTGGCTGTGGGTGATGGAAGGAGCAGAGAGAGCTCCCTGGGGAGGTGGGGAATGGCTGTCTATCTATCTAGCCAATATCTTCTTTACTCAATCATTTGTCCATGGGCACTTCACTTGTTTCCAGATCTTGGCTATTGTAAATAATGCTGCAATAAACATGGGGTAGCATATACTTCTTCAAACCAGTAGTTCTATATTTTTTCAGGTAAAGACCCAAAATTTTGGGTTAATACCCAAAATTAGACCTGCTATAGCTGATGCTTGGGCACAGACATGATTCCCAGAACAGGGGGACCTGCCAGGATTTGTAGAATTTGCTGGAGCCTACCTACTTGGCATAGTAGAGGAAAGAGCCTAGAACCATTTCAACTTACCTTTCTTGGGATCCACAGATTCCCCCATTTATAGAACAGAGATACTATGAATATCCACCTTAAAAAGTTGTTGTCAGGCTTTTGTGAAAATGTGAATAAACTCACAAGCAACAGTGATATGTGAGATCATTGCAGCTAATAGTAATCCTGTTGATTTATTTGATTGCCCAGCAGCTTATGACTAGAGCCCCCCCTTTTTTTTTTTTTAAGGTATATTTTTATTTATAAAAGAGCACATTTTTAACCCTAACAGCTGCTAAGTTTGGCCTTGTCTTGAGATTCCTTCTCTCCACATCTCCGACTTCTTTTGGGCTTATGAGGCAGGGAAAGGTAGGGTCAGAATTCAGAAGACCTGTTGTCTTGAGGAGAGAGAGCCTTAAGATGAGCCACTTCAGCGTGATCTGGCATGACCCAGCTCCTGCAGTAGACCAGCTGCAGCTCATGTGGCACCGTGAGGCCAACCGGTCTGAAGGAAATGCTGAGTTTCTGGCCTTCGCACCCCACAGGCTATGGAGAGTGAGGTCAACGTGCGCTACAAGGAGCTGTGTGGCCCCCGACCCAGCCATCAGCTCTTGACTAACCAGCTGCAGCGGCTGTGCGTGCTGCTAGATGTCTACCTGGAGACTGAGAGTCATGACGACAGTGTGGAGGGACCTAAGGAGTTTCCCCAGGAGAAGATGTGTCTGCGACTTTTCAGGTGAGTGGGGAGGCAGAAATGCTAGGGCTTTGACAGTCTCTCCCAAGGGAACAGGGGCAGAGATCAGAGCCCAGCAGGGAGGACACATGCATTCCAAGGTGCACTTGGCTTATTCACAGTGGAAATTAAAATCCTAAAGCCAAATTTCCTGGGGAGAGCTTGTTCTCACCTTCCTGAAACTTACCCTACAGCCTTCTTCCTTACCATGTGGCCCATGTGTTTTTCGTTAACACCCCTGAAGATGCTCTGAAGGGCCACCCACTGAGTAAGCAGCACTGGACTATGAACCAAGAGGTTTTGACTGAACTGTGCATTCTACTCTTCTGTGGGAAATAGGGTTTGCTTTTTACTGTCCAAATTAGCTTTTCAACTATATGCATCCCCATCAGTTTCCAGAGTCTGCTATAAACTTCCCAGGAAACACTTCTCTGAAAATCTCGCCTTTAGGCAGTCAGACATTACAGAATGAGCCAGCTCTGAAGTCAGACTTTGTTGCCCATCACCTTTGTCACCTTGGAAGAACACTTCAGCTCAGCTCTGAGCCTGTTTTCGAAAGACTGAAGTGGAAGTATTTCCTTCTAACTCATGATGCATTAGACATAATTCATGTAAAGCATCCAGAATGGTTCCTGGTACAAAACAGGCTCAGAAAATGACAGCAGGTCCTGACTGCTCTATAAAGTGTCTGGGTTCATGGCACTTCTAGAATCTTTTCCTTTCTCTCAGGCAGTAGGTCTTGCCTTTTATCCTTTCACTTATGTTCTTGTTTTTAAAGAGTCAGTTTCAAAACTGTAGGGTCCACTGCTTTGGGTTTCTCTTCCCTTTGGGGTGTGAGGTTGGGTGGGTTACTCCCATCCACAGTAAGTCAGGGGAGGAAGAAGGGCCATAATCTGTTTCCAATTGGAACATCCCCCTGTTCCCTGTCAGTCTAAAAGATGCCTTACCTGCCCCTTATCTTGTTTGCTGACAGCCAATCCCAGCTCCTGGAAGCTTTCCCAGCATCCTCCCTCCTCTGGCACTTCTACCTGGCCTGGTTCTTTGTGTTTTCTGCTAATAACCAGCTCCAGCCCCTGTGTGGCTGCTGAAAAGCACAGCCATTGGCTAAATGTTGGCACCTTCTAGGACTTGCTCTCCCTGGTGGGTCTGTGTGAAACCTTAGCTTTTTCACCCTCCCAGCCCCCTGTAACACATTTCCAGGGTGGGAACTTTCACATGGCCAGTGTTATTCCCTGCTATGTAATGGTTCCCAAAGGCCCCCTTTCCTGAAGTGCTGCGCTCCTTTGTCAGGGCATTCCGGGGAGGTGCTCCTTTGGCGACTCAGAGCCAATTAACTCCATGGCTGGTGAAACAGGAGGATTGAGGTTCTTGGTCTGGTATTCCTCTGACTTAGGTATCAGGAGACCAGAGGTCTGACTCTCCCCCTTCCTGGGTACCTTCCATAAACTACATATGAGAGTGGCCTTGCTGACCTTTCTCCCTCCTGGTGTTCATGGCTGTGAACAAATGCTTTGGGGCCAGAAAGATCAAGGTTCACATTGCAGCTCCTGCTCTGTGATTAGGGTCTTTACTTGCCCCTTCCGATTCCTCATCAGTAAAATAACACCTACCTCAGGTGCTGTTGGGAGGGTGAGGTTAAATGAGATGGAGCCTGGAACGTGCCAAGCACAGTGCAGGCAGAGAAGCTCTCACTTTAGTAAGGGGTTACACTGGTGTTGGAATAAAATCCTTTCTTCTCTCATCACTACATCTCCCCTCTCCCCTCTCTCTCTGGCTCTTACTGTCCTTCCTTCACTTCTTTTCTCCTTTTTCTCTCATACTCACATCACACATTCTTTCTTCAGACCGGGATCCAGGGTGTCACCTGGCTACCAGTGAATGTCAGCCATAGGCTGGTGAATGAAAGGTGAATGGGGCTCTTTAGCTGCAAGTAATTCAGCATGGAGTCATGTGGAAAAGGACCCCCTATGAACTTTTGCTCAGGTGCCCAGGGTTAAACCTGAAACACTAAGCTTTATGGGGACACAGCTTTAGCTGTTACTGTCTGCCTGCCTGTGGCCAGCAGGTTTTGGCATCAGATTTTTGGCATTGAATTTTGTGTTTGCTGTTTGCTGAGCATTGAATGGTTTATCTCTCTGGGCCTGTTACTTCATCTGTAAATCTACAGAGTGATAAAAATAGCTTCTAAGAAGTAGTAAGTGTAAAGTACACTGCTCTTTACAGGTATTTTGTGCAAATTCTTTTTATGCCCAGATTCCTGCCTGCATGGGAATCTCTGCACAGAATTTTAAATTATTTTTTTTATTACAGAAATAAAATGTGTTTGTTTTTAATAATATAGGCAACAATGAGCAATGCAAAAAGTGAGAGTGCCCAAACACTGCCCCCAGCAGTGTCCACTGTCATGAGGACCCTTCCAGATTTGTGTTTATACATGTGCAAGCATATAAAGACATTTTTACAAAAATGGCACCATGTCTTACACACTGTTCTGCAGTATGCTTTTCTCACAAAGTTTCTCCTCCCCCCCAGTACACTAGTATTCCTTTGTGTGGATGAACCATAATTTATTTTATCAGCTCAGAGACCATAGTATTAACTCCTCTCTGTTCTCCCGTATCTCTAGGGGTCCCAGCAGGATGAAGCCTTTTAAATATAACCATCCTCAAGGATTCTTCAGCCACCGCTGACCTCCCACTCGGCCCACTGTTTCCCCTCAAGGCTCCTAAGTGCTGTACCACTGCTTTCTACTGTGGCCCACATGTGGCTCTTGATAGTCTCCAAAGACAGGTTTTGTTTCGTTTTCTGTTTATGTCTAGCCTATTAAAATGTCACCTGAAGAAGTGGCCTTTGTTTTGTAGTTCCTTGGGGACAGAGGGGGAACAGCAAGACTTTGCAGTTTGGAATCGCAGGTGGGCGCCATGGCATAGTGTGAAGGAGTGCTTGTGGGGAGGCTTTCTGTAGGTGGTCGTGAAAAGCACAGTGCAAAAGATTCTGACTGCAGAGAAATGCTGCCCACTTGTCCATACTCACCTTATTTCTGCTCTGGAAGGTCCTCATTTTGGTATTTATTTATTTATTTTATTTTATTTTGTTTTTTAAAGATTTATTTATTTATACAAGCACTGGGTACAGTCAGAAGCTCGGGAGGGTGAGAGAGTTCACCAGAGTCAGAGCAGAGAGCAGAGCAGGCAGACTCACGAAGTACACTGCTGAGGGGAGCAGCGGGCGCGGGCAGGAGAGGTCTGCGCGCCATGTGGGACCCTCACCTGGTGGCCGGGGATTGAACCGGCTCTGCAGAGGCTGCAGGCAGTTTCGCAACCCAGTGCTCAACTGCTGCGCCACCAGGGAGGCCCTCATTTGGGTATTTATTATCCCAAGTCCCTGCTGTTTGGAGATGATAGGGGAAGGCAAGGTCAGCATACCAGAGGAAGCAAAAGCGCTTCTCTTCCCTCCCCTTACTCCACGAGTCCTGTCATTGTCTCTCATGACCAGATTTTCTTTGATCCTTGGAAGTTACAGATGTCTAACAGCAACACAGTTAGAGACAAGCACTTCACAAAGAGTAATTATCAATGTTTCAGGATTCCACCAAGTCGGTAAGAGTGATACTGAGCGTCACATGCAGAGCTGATGGTCTGGCAGAGCAAGACCAGGTGACAACTAAGGAAAATCTCCATGGCGATGCCATGATCAGTGCCTCAGGAAATCATGGTTTAACTCTAAGGATTAAAAGGAGTCCTGGTGAAATAGGTAACACCCTTTAAAATGTTTGCAAAATGACCTTTGTAGTTCTGCAAAAGTCGAACTAAGTGAAGGATGGCATAAAGAGTTCTTAGACCATGTGTCAGGGAAGTTATGCTCTGTTGCCCCCAAAAGTTCAGTACTCAATTTTTTATACATTTTAAGAAATGAAATGTAAAGATGTAAAAATATTTAAGAATTATTACATCACAAGTGTAATTTAATGTTTGCTACCTACAAAAGGAAATTAATTTCTCTAGATTTATGGAGATATAATTGACATATAACATTGTGTACATTTAAGCTCCACAACGTGGCTTACTATATATGTGTATGTGCTATGTAATAGTATATATACTGTACATGTGATATACTATATATAGTGATATACTGTATATAGTCTATATATTCAGATATATATTGACCTGTACAGCCACAATAGGTTAATTTTTAAAGTTATTTATTTATTTAATTTTTGCATAGAAGAACTGGGGTGTAGGCCAGTGGTATGGAAAATGTGAGAGGATTCACCAGAGACAGAGTGGGGAGCAGAACAGGAGATTTACTGAAATACACTGCTAAGGGGAGCAGGTCTGCTGTGTCATATGTGGGTTAGCTCCCTGGCTTGGGATTAAACTTGGGCCATACTGATGAAAGTGCTGAGACTTAACCCCTCGGGCATCGGGGAGGCCCTGCAATGAGGTTAATTAATAAATCTTCCACTTCACATGGTTACCTTTTGTAAATATGTGTTGAAAACTTTTAAGATTTCTTAAACAACTTTAATCTCAGCAACTTTTTTTAAAGATTTATTTATTTATGCATACAAGAACTGGGGTATAGACCAGAAGTGCGGGGGAGTGCGGGGGGCGGGGATGGTGAAAAGATTCATCAGAGACAGAGTGGGGAGCAAAACAGGCAGATCTATGAAGTGCACTGCTGAGGGCGAGACAGGAGAGGTCTGCTGTGCCATATGGGTCAGTTCCCTGGCCAGCTGGGGATCAGGCTGGGATTGTACTCTTGCTTCAGTGGCTGGTGACAGCTTGATAGCACTGTATCTTTAACCCTTGCACCACCAGGGAGGCCTCCCCCGCAATATCTTTGAAGTTTGGTCCCCATTGTAAGGGACAAATCTTAAGTGGACTTTTGCTGATTCTCCTTGTGTCTCTGAAATAAAAGCTGTATCCTCCTGTCCTCTCAGCTGATCAGTGAGCATCTGAGTGACAACTTTTGAGGAAGAACTAGGAGACGCCAGCCCTGCCAGGGCTCATCATTTTACAGGTGGACACAGCCCAGTGAGGAAAGAAAGACACCTCAAGTGACTGTTAGATAAGCGTGCCTCTGCCTTCCCTTCAGCCTCCATCACTCCTTTGAATTCTAGAGGCAGATATTCTGCATCTCAGCAGTCCTCAAACTTCAATACGTGAGTGTGATCCCTCTAGGGAACTATTAGAAACAGATTCCCAATCCCCACTAATACTCGACTCAGTTGACCTGAGATGGGCTGAGAAAGTCTATTTTTACAAGTTCCCCAGGTACAGATTGCCCTAGTCTCTTTTTAGAAGTTACTGTACATTCTTCCCTTCCTTCATTTTTCTTGGTGACTCCTCAAATAATACAGGTAGGTCCTTTCTCTGTGCAGCTTCCCCTCTCCTATCTTTTGTACCTTGGACAACACGAACCTCTGGGCACTTTTTTCTCTCCATGTGGTGAGATCTACTTGCCTCTTCCCTGACCTACCTGCTCTGTCCCTGCTGGCATCCCCTTGGTCTGGCCACCTTCAGGACTTTTGTCTCACCACCTGTGCTGAATAAGATTGAAATGGGACCTAAAAATAGTTTCTTTAATGGCCCTGCATTGCAGCCTCCACGTTCTTAGCTGGGAGGCAGCCAGACTGACTCAGCATCTCTGACTCCGGCTCATCTCCAGAAGCCAGGACACGGTTGCAAAGACAGCTTGTAAGAGCTGAGAGGAAGCTGCTTCCTAGGCAGGAGATATAAGAACCTGTCTCCCTCCCAAAGAGATTTATCCTCTTCAAAGGAACAGTCTGAACAGAAGAATCCTTTGGTCTTAAGAAGGGTTTTAAAAGAATCAAGAAGCCCAGGACAATCCAGCCCTTTTGAGCTACCAACTGAGCCTTTTGTGCCTCAGGTAGGCAGGTTAAGGGAAAGGAGCCTGGCTTGTTTCCTCCATGGTGAGAATTGACCTTGACCTTTCTTGGGGCACATTCCAGACTGCAGCCCCTCTGTCATCCTCCCACATGTAGGAGTCAGTCTAAGTTCTTACCAACCATATTCTTGGTTTCTTCTATTCTCTCTTTTCTCCCCAGCTTACTGTTTCTTAACTATTTTTCCTACAAATAAATCCAAAAGACCCTTTTTATTTTAAGGACGTTCCTATTGGTCATTAGGAAAAAAAAACTAAAAGCCCTATCATTTAAAGGAGCAGCGCTGCCAGGCTGCCAGAGGAATGTTCTACCTGCCGTGTAAACTGTAAGTCCTCCAGTTCCATGGTGTCCTGATGAGAACAGGTGTTAAGCATCTATTTTGGGTCAGGTCCTGTGCTAATCACGCTTTTACATTCACTGCCCCAATTAATTACAGGAGGCCACAAAAATGTATGCATTCCCTTCATTTTTACAGATGAGGAAAGTGAGGCTTAAATGAATGTCCGTGCGCCTATATGTCTTGAGCTGCCTGCTCAGGGTGCGAGTCCAGTGAGGTTTCAGGTCAATGCAGACAACACTCCTTGCACCATTTAGTCACTTCAGCAAGAGTCCAAGTTAGAGTCAAACTGACCCATGTGGGTCTTTGCTGCACTCCTGAGCAGCTGCATGACCCTGGTCAGTTCACTTGACTCACTCTAAGCCTCAGGGGTCCCCATCTACAACTGGGGGTGATAATAGAACCTCACAGAGTGATAGTTTTGGGGGCAACTCTCAGCACCATGGAAGATACCTATCACTGCTCAGCAGAGGACAGGGTCTTGTCCCTGCCCTTCAGGTTTCAGTGTGGAGAAAAGACCTCTTGAGTCAGGAAGGCCCTTCCTGCCTGATGCCTCCCATTCCGCATTTTGTGTCCCAGGCTCTGGGAGCCCAGCTCTGTCTGGACTCATCCTTCCTTGCCAACAGCTCAGTCAGGTGCTAAGCTGGGCTCTGAGATGAGAACTAACCCTGGACTTTTTGCAGAATTTGGGACCAGAGTTCTTTTTTTCCCCTTAAGTTCGCTAAACTGGTGGGAGGTAAAATCTAAAGCAACTGGAGGCCACACAGAAAGGTCCTGCCTGAGAATGAAGCTTACACAAAAGAAAATAGCTGGAAAAAGGTGAAACAAGTAATAGCATCTTGGAGAAGAAACTTTAAAAATCCCCCTGGATCTAGCTATATCCAAAGCACGTCAACCTTCCTTAATTCCTTGGTTATGTAAGCTAATATATTTATTATTATCAGTAGCCATAGTGTTTTGTTTAAACTAGTTTGATTCTGTTTTGACCACATGCAGCACAACAATGTTGATGAGTGTGGAAATTTTCAAAGCATCCCCTCAGGAGCTGCTGGGTTAGTATTCTCTGGAACATTACTGCTGTGGAGTTATTAGTGCCACTAAGAGCCTCTACTCTCCTCCCTCTTGGCACTTGGTAGAACATCGTCTGTGATGTTAGATGTAACTGTGTACATTGCTTTCCCAGTGAAAAAATTTTTTTGAAGATTTATTTATGCATACAAGAACTGGGGTGTAAGCCAGAGGTGCAGGGGGCTGACAATTCACCAGAATGAGGAGCAGAACAGGCAGACTGACTGAAATACACTGCTGAGGGGAGCAGCGGTGAGACAAGTCTGGTGTGCCATGTGGGTCACCTCCCTGGCCGGGGATTGAACTGGTGCTGCAGTAACTGTGAATAACTTCATAGTGCTGAGACTTAACCCCTTGTGTGACCACGGTGGCCCCAGCCTCAGTGAATTTTGGAAGTCTGAACCTCAATGGGCCCCTACCCACACTAAACCAACCCACACTAGATTGTAGTGTAAGTGAGAAAGATGCTTTCTTTGGGTTAAGCCACTGAGATTTTAGTTTTTTATCATTGCAGACATAACCTAACCCATTCTTTCTGAAATAATCCCCCTGGGGAAAAAAAATGAAGGATGCTTTCATCAACCCAGTGGTATCAGATGAGCCAACAGCTAGCCAGCAAGAATGATGCATCTTAAAGAGGTCAGTTCCTTTCCACATGTCATCTGTGTCCCCCGGGCCTCTGATATCTGACAAGCAATTCCTTAGTAATTTGGCTCTACTGGTTTTTCTAAGGTTTGTTACCCTCCCAGCGGGAGGATGATTTTGTTTAGCAGATGGTTCAGATCAGTTCTGCTTGGTATCTGGCCAGCTAATCATGCCTACATGAGGGAAAAGAGGAACGGCAGCTGGGCCCTGCCTGTGCTCTTAGGGACTTGAGAATACTATCAAAGAGGGCTGGAGCTTTTGCCATACAAATACCTTAAGTAGGGCCTCCCTGGTGGCGCAGCGGTTGAGCACTGGGTTGCGAAGCTGCCCACAGCTCTGCAGCACTGGTTCGATCCCCAGTCAACGGCGAGCCGCCCACTGTTCCCCTCAGCAGTGTACTTCGTCAGTCTACCTGCTCTGCTCCCCGCTCTGGCTCTGGTGAATTCTCTCACCCTCCTGCGCTTCTGACTGTACCCAGTGCTTGTATAAATAAATAAATAAATCTTAAAAAAAAAAAACCAAATACCTTATATATCTGGTTTGGGTGGCCGTGTTCCGTGTCCTTGGAAAAGACTGGACAGGATGGCAGAGTAAGGAAGCGCTTGTGCTCTGTGGTCATACAGGCCCAAATTTTGACCCAGGGACCACCTCTTCTCACCTTTGAGGTCTTTTATTTTTTTAAAGATTTATTTTTATTTGTGCATACAAGAACTGGGGTATAGGCCAGAGGTGCAGGGGGTGAGAGGACTCACCAGAGACATGTTTTCATTTATATACAACCTCTTGATATATCAATTTTCAAAAGTCTTTTATTTTGAAATAATTTTTAATTTACTGAAAGGTTACGAAGTTAGTATAAAAAGGTTCCTCTTTCACCCAGCTCTCTCAAATAGTTATTTTACATGATCTTCATGCATTTGTCGAATCTAACAGATTAATGTTGGTACCTTACTATTAACTGAATTACAGATTATTTGAAGTTCACTGGTTTTTCCACTCACTGTTTCATGATCTAGTCAAGGACACCACATTGCATTGAGACATCATGTCTTCTCAAGTCTATTTCTCAATCTTTTCTTTGATTTATCAATTTGAACCATTTTTTCCAGACTAAAGTGAGAGAGGAATGTTTTTGATCAATTATACACTCTACTTTCTCCACTCTCTTCCTTTTGTCTTACGTTTTGGTATAACACATATTCATTGTAGCAGGTAAATATTCTTACTTGCTGAATTAACTAGTATGTAATTACACTTGCTCTTATAATTTTTTGTTTTCTTTGAAATTGAATACATCTTCTCACATTCTCCCATAGTTCAGTAAAAAGAAATTCAATTTTATACATGGTGAATCTTGCCAAATAATTTATAAGTTTAATTTTTTTCTTGGAGCGTCCCCTCTCAAACACACTGAGTCTGGATAGGGACTGCAAAGTTATTGTCCAAAGAGTTGTCTCTTGGGCCTCCCAGGTGGCGCAGTGGGTTGAGCGCAGCGCTGTGAAGCTATCTGCAGCCTCTACAGCGTGGGTTTGATCCCGGCCGGCCGTGGAGAATCCCATGTGGCGCAGCAGACCTCTCCTGTCTCGCCCGCTGCTCCCCTCGGCATTGTATATCAGTCAGTCTGCCTGTTCTGTTCCCCGCTCTGTCTCTGGTGAATCCTCTCACCCTCCCACGTCTCTGGCCTAGACCCCTGTTCTTGTATAAATAAAATAAAATCTTTAAAAAAAGAGTTGTCTCTTTGTCATTATCCCAGAGAGTTTCATCTTTTATGTTGTTCTTGTTTCTATATTCCTGGATTTTCTATTTCTTAAACTTTCAGTTCTTTTGCTAGACCATGTCCTCTACTGACTTTCAGAGAAAGGATTTAGGGATGTCATTTTTTGGACTTTAGTTGCCATAAGTTGTCCTTTTTTCTACCCTCCTATTTATCAGTATAAACATCTAGGTAGTTTATCATTGATGCCAGAAAATTCAGGCCATGCTAGTTCTTCACCTTTTTTTTACTCATTGGAAGCTTTTAGAAACCTCTATCCTGGGTTCTGAATGTTGGGTCTGAATGTTTATGTGATTCAGGTAGGCTAAATCTACCACTGGACCTAGAATTTGGCATGTGACCCAGCAGGTCCAATCAGTATTCCATCCTCTCTGGCCATAGTGATTGCTTTTGGGATGAGCTTATGACCCCAGTACTAATGAGATTCAGTTTTCAGACTGGTTGAACTGGTGGGGAGAAAATCTCTCTCTCCCTGGTTTGTACCTGGATGGGTGCAAACCCAAAGCTACTTAGGATCTCTGTTCCAGAACATAGCTACAGTACCTGAGTATCAAGCTGGGATCTGGGACCTAGGAAATCCCCATGGGTCTTGTCGAGAAAAGTCATAGTTGGCTGAGTTTCCCAAATTGCTTTAAAAAATAACTATCATTTATCAACATGTTTTTATATAAATTCTATCCAATCTACATGGGAATTTTTCAAGGTAGATATTCTGATGCCTATTTCAATGGTGAGAAAACAGGTGAGGTGAGTTGCTTCAGTCACATAGCTAGTATGTCGTAGAGTCAGGATTTAAACTTAGAACTTAATTCCAGAATCTGTTTTCTGGAGTACCACACCACAGAATCCTGAGCTGCTTTAGTTGGCTAAAGTTTTGGACATCAAATGACTGCTGTGTTGGGTCACACCTGGGCCATTTGCTTGAGATGGTTTCCCAGAACACAGAGATTTCGTCCTAAAAACTAGAAAAGTCCTGAGCAAGTGAGGGTAGGCTGCTTCCCTTGATGCTTGGGCAGTCACTTTATCATATTTCCCAGACTTCAGTGTGCATTAGAATTAAGTGGGAGTTGGTGAAGCATGCACTTCCTGGACCTGCCTCTCATATTTCATTTCAATAATGTAGGATAGAATCAAGGAGTCTGCATTTTATGAGCCTCCCAGATGCTGCTGGTGTAGGTGATCCATGGACCATGCTGAGAAGCCATGCACCAGACCACACCTATCTAAGATCATAAAAACGAAGCACCTAGTATGTTGCCTGGCACAGGGATTGTGCTAGAAAATAGCACAAGATGTCATTTAGTCCCAGACCCACATGAGACCTCTGGTGCTCACTCAGTGCCTGTGGTTGCTAGACCTCCCCTGGCCTGCCCATGAGAAAATAAATAACAGTAGCATCTTCATTTTATAAGCACTTGGTTTTATTGCACAGAAGCAATTTAAAGTGGACTCCAGTGGAAAAGTGTGCCCTGGCATGAATCAGTGGCCAGTGCCCAGCCCCACCTGCTCCAGCTCTTCCAGGATAGAGAGCTCTGGGCAAGGGCTTGGCCACTCCTTTGGAAAAGAGAAGGCATTTGGGAATAGGTTAAGACATCTCAAGCATAATGTGTTTCTAACGGCTCATTCATTATTGCGGTCATCTGTCATTGCACATACAGGAAATAAATGCACTTATTTGGAAAGGAGGGGCCGATTTTTATAGTCAAGTGTTTACGTGTGGCATTCCGCATGTATCACATTCAGCTACATAAGCTATCATAACATAATTGTCCATCGCCTGGGGAGGGTTTAGGGCATGGGGGTGGGGGTTGGGAGTGCCCTCTCTTGCTAACATATTGCTAACAGAATTCCCGTTTGGTGAAGGAGGGCCCCATCTAACAGTTTCTTCATACATAAAGGGACAAAAAATGAAAATTCATTACACCAACCCTTGAGCTCCAGACCCTCCTGAGTTTCTTTGGCTACTCTGGATGTTGCTTTCTCCCTGCCTTACTTCTCCCCCTTAGTGGCCTTTTCTTCTGTGGCCTTCTCCAGAGGCCTGCTGTCTCTCTGGTCTGTGCTAGACGATTTCTCTGCCTTTTCTGTCTTGGCTTTGCTGGGCATGGGGGCCTCCTTGCCAGGCTCTTCCTTGGCTTGGGCCTCTGTTTTGGGTTTTTCCTCAGGCTTCTTGGGCTCTGTGGCCTTTTCCTCCTTGGCATCTTTTTTCTCAGGTGCTGCTGTCATCTCTTCCTTCTTTGGCTTTTGTGGCTCCTTCTCTGCTGCTTTGCTGGGTTCTTTCGCCTTGCTGTCATCTGGTTCCTTCTTGGCCACCTCAGTCTTCTCCTTGGGTTTGACCTCTTCCTTCACTTTGGTAGGACCCTCCTTCTCTGGGGTCACTGCTTTTTTCTTATCTTCAGTCTCTTCCTTCTTAGCTTCAACTTTTGATTCTTTGGGCTTTTCCACAGCAGTTTCCTTCTTCTCGACCTCAGGCTTTGAAGCCTCCTTCTTAGATGTCTCATCTTTCTTGCTGTCCTTCTCCTCAGTTTTTTGTGTGGTTGGAGCTTTCTCTTCCTCTCCCTTCTTTGGGGGCTCTTTGACTTTGACCTCCTGAGGTTTCTCCTTCTCCTTCACAGGGGACTTTGCCTCTTCACTCTTTGGGGCCTCTTTCTCAGGAGCCTTGGCCGCCTCCTTCACAGGAGATTTGACCTTCTCTGGGGACTTGGCAGCCTCCTTGACAGGACTTTTGGCCTTTTCAGGGGATTTGATGTCTGCAGGAGACCTTACTTCCTCCTTCACTGGGGTCTTGGCTTCTGGGGACTTCACATCAAGAGTCTTGGCCTTCTCTGGGGACTTGGCCTCTTCCTTCACGGGGGACTTGGCCTTCTCTGGGGACTTGGCTTCTTCCTTCACAGGGGACTTGGCCTCTTCCTTCATGGGGGACTTGGCCTTCTCTGGGGACTTGGCCTCTTCTTTCACGGGGGACTTGGCCTTCTCTGGGGACTTGGCCTCTTCTTTCACGGGGGACTTGGCCTCTTCTTTTACGGGGGACTTGGCCTTCTCTGGGGACTTGGCCTCTTCTTTCACGGGGGACTTGGCCTTCTCTGGGGACTTGGCCTCTTCCTTCATGGGGGACTTGGCCTTCTCTGGGGACTTGGCCTCTTCTTTCACTGGGGACTTGGTCTTCTCTGGGGACTTGACTTCCATTGGAGACTTGACCTGAACTGGGGACTTGGCCTTCTCTGGGGACTTGGCCTCGTCCTTCACTGGAGACTTGACCTCCACTGGGGACTTGGCCCCTTCCTTCAATGGGGACTTGACCTCTACTGGAGACTTGGCCTTTACAGGGGACTTGACCTCCACTGGAGACTTGGCCTTTTCAGGGGACTTCACTTCAACTGGCAATTTTGCTGCTTCTTTCATGGGGGATTTAGCTTTCACTGGAGACTTGATCTCAGCTGGTAACTTCACTTCCTCCTTCACTGGGGACTTTGCTTTCTCAGGGGATTTTACCTCAGCTGGAGACTTGGTGTCTTCCTTCTCTGGGGACTTGGCTCCAGCTGGCAATTTTGCTTCATCTTTCATGGGAGATTTAGCCTTTTCTGGGGACTTGACCTCAGCTGGTGACTTGGCCTCTTCCTTCACTGGAGATTTGGCCTCCTTCTCTGGGAATGCAGCCTCTTCTGCTGGGGGAGACTTTGCCTCTTCTTCTCCCTCTTCTGCTTCCTCTTCTCCTCCCTCCTCACCTTCCTCTTCCTTGGTCTCTTTCTCCTCTTCTTCAGTCACTTCCTCGGTCACTTGGATCTCCTCTGTCTGTTCCTCCACAATCACGGTTTCCTTCTCTGACTTTTCTACCATCTTGATCATCTCTTCACTTTTGACCTTTATGTGAGTAGCTGCAGAAGGGATTTTAGGGAGTCCTTCTGGAAGGGAGAAAGGACTAGGACCAAAGCCAATACGACACTCTTCACCCTCCAGGAGTTTTCTGCCAAATGGATAATGTAACATGTTACTGTTAACCAGAGCAGACTGGTGAGTTTGAGGTCTTCCTGGATTACTCTGAAGGTCCATAACATGCAATGGTATGGACTTCAGGGAGGAAGGAATGTGAATGATGGTTACTTTGAAAGCGGAAAGTCACTTAGTAAATCATCATAGAATCTGTACCCCACTGGCACAGCTCACATTTTGCAGCTAAGGCTATAATTTATAAAAACTTCTCCCCTTGAAAAATGACCCCCAAAAGAGAATTCCTATATACCCACAAAAGTTACACCTATTGTCCCTCAACTAAACTGTTATTCAAGAGAAATTTTGGAGCCTGAGCAAACAATTCCATATTTATGAATCTGAGTTTAAGAGGTACTAGGCCATTCCCACTGGAGTTTGAAAGGTTTTCTGTCATATACCTTCACAAATGTAACAGCACTCGAATCCTCCAGGGATCTCCATTAATGTGCAGATTCGGTGTGAGGCCTGAAAGTCTGACTTTTTTTCCTTTAAAGATTTTACTTATTTATGTGTAGAAGAAATGGGCTATAGGCCAGCGGTGCAGAGGGGTGAGAGGATTGACCAGAGAGAGAGTGGGGAGCAGAACAGGCAGAAGTTACTGAAAAACACTGCTGAGGGGAGCAGTGGTAAGGCAGGAGAGGTCTGCTATGCTATATGTGGGTTAGCTCCCTGGCTGGGATTGAACTCAGGGCATAGTGGTGACAGTGCCGAGACTTAACCCCTACACCACCAGAGAGGCCCCGAAAGTCTGACTTTCTAACAAGTCCTCAGCGGATGCTGATTACTCCGGTTTACTGATGACATTTTCAAGGGCAAGACACAAACTAGAGCCAAGAACTGGGAAGCGAAGTGTTACCAGTCAGTAGTGGGGACAAGGGCTCCTGGGGTCAGCCCTGCTCCATGGTCTGAAACTGCTAAACTGGGAGGTTTTGTGGTTATCATTTACCAAGGGCTTGCTCTGGTGGAGCTCAGTGGTACCTGCTGCAGTTCTTGGATTAGCTCATGAACAGGATTAGCTCCTCCTCCCAACAACCCCACAAGTGGGTACTATTATCATTAACCCCTGCCTTCGTGCCCCAGGAATCAAGTGCTCAGAGAGCTAAGAAATTCTAAGAGACTGAGGGCCTCCCTGGGGGCGCAGCGGGTTAAGCACAGTGCTGTGAAGCTATCCGCAGCCTCTACTGCGCAGCTTCGATTCCCTCTCCTGTCGCGCCTGCTGCTCCCCTCTGCAGTGGCTTCTGTCTGTCTGCCTGTTCTGCTCCCTGCTCTGTCTCTGGTTAATCCTCTCACCCTCCCGCACCTCCAGTCTGTACCCCAGTTCTTGTATAAGAGTAAATAAATCTTAAAACAACAACAAAAAAGAAATTCTAAGAGATTGAGTTGAAAAGACCGGTGACCATACAAGTACCTCATTTCCCTCCAAAGCTGGGAGTCTGGGGAGAGGGTGAGGAGCTTTAGCCTCTAAGTCATTGTCAGAATGAAAATAAACTACTCTTTAGATTTTTTTGTCTCTCAGAAGAATGGCTGCCAGGACTATGGGAAGGGAGTGGGGGCTTACTCTGTAATGAGCAGAGTTCAGTTGGGAAGAAAAAAAAAGTTCTTGCAATAGAAGGTGTTGATGGGGCTTCCCCGGTGGCGCAGCGGTTGAGCGCTGGGTTGCGAAGCTGCCCGCAGCCTCTGCAGCACCGGTTCAATCCCCGGCTGCTCCCCGGCCACCTGAGGAGGGTCCACATGGTGCGCAGACCTCTCCTGCCGCCCGCTGCTCCCCTCAGCAGTGTACTTCGGTCCTTCTGCCTGCTCTGCTCCCCGCTCTGGCTCTGGTGAATTCTCTCACCCTCCCGCGCTTCTGACTGTACCCAGTGCATGTATAAACAAAACAAACAAACAAACAAATAAATAAAAACATGCCTCTATAAAAAAAAAAAAAAAGAAGGTGTTGATGGTTGCACAACAATGTAAATATTCTTAATACTACTGGACTGTATACTTTAAATCAGTTTAATAGCAAATCCTAACAGCAAACATTTTTTGTTTCTAAGAAAGGCAGACTGCTTCTCTGGGGCTTGAAATCTAAGGCTTAGCTCCTGATGCAAATACAAAGGCCCCTGGCCCACCTCACCTGTAAGCAGCAATCTCAATATCCAGAGCCATCTTGACATTGAGCAGGTCCTGGTACTCCCGGAGCTGGGCTGCCATCTCCCACTTGGTATTCCTCAGCTCAGTGTCCAGCTGCTGGATGGCTTCCTGGAGAGACAAGGTCACACAAGTCACATGCCAGCCAGCAACTGGCCCTCAGTGCCTAGGAGGCTGGGACTATTGGTGCGAGCCCAGAGCAGTTCCACCCAGACAGGTAAACTGGGGCCACTCCCAACCTATCAAAGCTGGACATGGACATGGACTGCTTGGAGCAAAAGTCTAGGTTGTGTATATAATCTCAGCCAGGGAATGAAACACACCAGTCACCAACAATGGTTATCACTGGACAGTGGGATGGAGGTAAGTTTTTTTGTTTCTTAAAGATTTATTTATTTAAGCATACAAGAGCTGGGGCATAGGCCAGAGGTGGTGGGGGAGTGGTGAGAGGATTCACCAGAGACAGAGTGGGGAGCAGAATAGGCGGATCTACTGAAATACACTGCTGAGGGGAGCAGTGGGTGAGACAGGAGAGGTCTGCTGCGCCATGTGGGTTAGCTCCCTAGCCAGGGATTGAACTCATGATGCGGTGGCTGCCTGACTGCCAACTGCTTCATAGTGCTGAGACTTAACCTCTTGCACCACCAGGGAGGTCCCAGGGTGGTGGTAAGTTTTTATAGCTCTCTTTCTTTTAAAAAGGATTTATTTATGCATACAAGCACTGGGGTACAGGCCAGAGGTATGTGGGGGCAGTGAGAGGATTCACCAGAGACAGAGTAGGAAACAGAAAGGGCAGATTGACTGAAATACACTGCTGAGGGGAGCAGGGGGTGAGTCAGGAGAGGTCTGCTGCACCATGTGGGTAGCTCCCTGACTGGGGCTTGAACTCACGCTGCAGTGGCTGCAGATAGCTTCATAGGTTGTGTCCTAACCCCTTGCGCCACCAGGGAGGCCCAGTTTTTAAAGATCTCTTAAGCTGAGAAAATGCTCAATGGAAATGGGACTTGTCTGCTTTTGTGCCCTATTGTTTTCCCAGTGCTCCAAAATGCCTGCCACATAGTAAGGGATCAGGAAGCATCTCTTGGTGATGACCAGGATAATACAGAGAAGCAAGTTAAACAGTTGAAGTTTCTCTCCAACTCCAAGCCCACTGTAGCCATGGCTTAAAGTAAGCTATTACAGCTGACTCTTTTTCTATAACTGCATAACAAATTCTTTTAAAGTGTTTTTTTTTTTTTTTAAGAAAACAGTATTTTCCTTTTGTCAGTTGTTTCATAGGTGGAATCTGCAAGGCCTTCTCCAGGCTACCTACAGGAGAGACACTGGTTATTGTTTACCAGATGCTGCATGTGAGCACATTCACACTTATTAAAAAATTGTCTAACAAAAAAAAAAAAATATCTCTCTATAACCTTCACAGTTCTGCAAAGCAGGCATTCTTTTTTTTTTTTTTTTTAAGATTTATTTTATTTATTTATTTATTTTATTTATTTATACAAGCACAGGGTACAGTCAGAAGCACGGGAGGGTGAGAGAATTCACCAGAGCCAGAGCTGGGAGCAGAGCAGGCAGAAGGACCGAAGTACACTGCTGAGGGGAGCAGCGGGCGGCAGGAGAGGTCTGCGCGCCATGCGGGACCCTCCTCCGGTGGCCGGGGAGCAGCTGGGGATCGAACCGGCGCTGCAGAGGCTGCGGGCAGCTTCGCAACCCAGGGCTTAAGCACTGCGCCACCGGGGAGGCCCCATTCTTTCTTCTTTAAAAAAAAAAAAAAATCATTGAGAGGCCTCCGTGGTGGCACAGAGGTTAAAGTCTCAGTGTTATCAAGCTATCGCCAGCCACTGCGGCATGAGTTCTATCCCCAGCCAGGGAGCTGACCCACATGGTGCAGCAGACCTCTCCTGCCTCACCCGCTGCTCCCCTCAGCAGTGTATTTCGGTAGACCTGCCTGTTCTGCTCCTCACTCTATCTTTGGTGAATCCTCTCACCCTGACCCCTGCACCTCTGGCCTGTACCCCAGTTCTTGTATAAATAAATAAATAACAATCTTCAAACGTCATTGCACTGAAGGAATTCAGGTTCCACAAGGCAGATAACTGCCAGGATCACACAGCTCAGGAGTCACACTGGTAGCCCTGGTATGTCTGACTCCAGGGCCCATGGTCTGAGCCACTGAAACCTATTTAGAGAGGGGCAGTGACATGCCCAGGGTCACCCAACCAACTGAGGCAGCATGGCTCTCTTCCCTACTCCCGCCCCACCCACCTGGTAGGATACAATGTCGGCCTGGTGACGGTCCTCCAGCTCAGAGCGCTGCCTCTCCAGTGAGTCCTTGGTGCCTCTGAGTGCCTCCAACTCTGTGGTCCTGGCCTGCAGCTGGCGCCGATACTCTGTTATCTCCTCCTGTGCTGAGCGCATGGCATCTGTGTTCACCTTGGCTGCCTCTGACAGTCGGTCCAACCTCACTAGGAGAAAAGAGGACAAAGCACAGGGTTAAATATATCTCGATTTAGGTTCCAGTACCCAAATCTGTAAAGTGACACAATGACCTGGGCACCATCTTGGATACTTAACTCACCTGTATTCTGTATGAAAGACAATCCCTATTCCCCAAGGCCACTCAGCTAGCGAGAGACAGCTAGGATTCAAATCTAGAGTCTAGATCCCAACTCAGGATTCAGAAACTCTACAGGACAGAGGAAGCCCCATTTCTGGTTCCAGTGCCTGGTTCAGCTCCCAGCAAGGGTCCACAGTGCTTGTGGTTTGGATGTAAAACCTGGCCCACAGGGCTTAACCCTGAGGTTGTGGCTGAACAAGTTAATCCTATGAGCTTTGCAGGCATGAGGGTGCTGAAATCACCTTGTAGCCAGTCCCTTCCTTATAGGTTTCTGTGGTGTACACTCCAAGGTCACTGAAGAGCCTGGGGCTTTTGTGCCAGCTACTCAGTCCCTTCCTCTACCCAAAAGCATATTCTCTAGCACAGAAACCCCTGAGCCAATGGTAGCCACCCAGGCCCCTTCCAGCAAAGAGCTGCTGGCTCCCAGAAGACCTTCAGAGGTCAGTGGAGGCAGGAGTCTAGTCTACATCTCCTGAAAGTGAACATCCTGCATTTTGAGAGTGACACCCGGGGCCTGAGTTGGAAAGCCAGCAGCGTGGCCCAGAAGTCTTAGGATGGTATGCCTGTGTGACTCACACAGAGAGCAGAGAGGTTCACTCTTGGAGGAGGCTTGCTGCAGGGAAGGGGGAGGGGACAGTTCTGTCACTGCAGAGGAGTGGAAAAGGAACCAGAAAAAGTGAAGCAGGTGCTTCCAGTGCCGTCACACTTAGAAACCATACTGGTGGCTAAGGATTCTTAACCATTGTAAGAAAAATGCAGAAACTTCTGCACCCTCTCCCAAAGACACACAAGTTTTACAGTGTCAGGAAGAATTATGGAGCTCTGCAGAGCAAGAAGCCCAGTGGGTCCACCCCTGTCTTTCAACCCCAAATGAAATGAAAACTAGAGGGTATTGGCCAAGGTCACCCTGCATCTGTTGGGCAACGCTTCAAGCTGCTGCAGCTGTAATCTAGCTGACTCCAGGCAGCAGAGGTGGGGGGTGCGGGCACAATCCTAGCTTCTGTGTAGGGAAGACAGTCATTAAAGGGCCCACCCATCACCTTTTGGCCTCAGGCACCAATTGATTGTAAGACTGGTTCTTGGGCGAAGGGATGTGAGCCTCCTATCCCTCCCCACAAGTAGAGGGGAGCAGTCTGATAGGGGTGGAGAGAACAGGGTTCCCTGTGATGTGTAGAAGCAGGGATGCAGTCTTGGGCAGGGAAGTTATGTTACACTGAAGGGCAGGGAACCTGGTGGAAAGGAGCCTCAGGGTGGGTAACCCAAGCTTGGAGCAGGGAGCAGAGAGAAGACCCAAGGTTAAAGGACAGACTTAAGGACACTGGAGGAGAGCACCTAAAGGAGAATCCAGCGTGGCGGGGGTCTGGGGAGTGGGGTGTGTAGTGAGAAGAGACGCGGAGTGAAACTGACACTTAACTAGGGGGCATGCACTCTGCAGGGCGAAACTGAGCCAAGCACCCTCCAACCCAGGCACCTCCATGCAGAGCCCACCCGTGCCACCCCACCCCTCCCGACCAGCAGGAGGCGCCCCCTCCTCGCCACGCCCGCGCGCCCGCCCACCTCGGAACCACTCCTCCGACTGCAGCGTGCTCTGCACCGCGTGGCCTTCCAGCTGCGCGCGGATCTCGCGCAGCGCCGAGGTCACATCGCACTTGAGGGCGTCGCGCGCCTCGGCCTGCGCCTGAGCCTGCACGGCGCCGCAGCCCTGGATCTGGCCGAGCAGCTCTCCCACCTCCTCCTGGTGGTGGCGCCGCAGGTAGCCGCACTCCTCCTGCAGGGCTTGCGCCTTCTTCTGCAGCTCCGCGCGCGCGGCGTCCGCCTCCTGCGCGAAGCGCGCGAGTGCGCGCGCCGCCGCCTCGGCCTCCTCGCGCTGCCGGGCCTCGTCGTCCAGGCGCTGGCGCACGTGCGCGATGTCCTCCAGCAGGTGCTCCTGCTCCAGGCGCAGCTGCCCGCGCGCCGCGCCCAGGCGCAGCACGGCGCCGCGCATCTCGCGCACCTCGCGCTCGTACAGCTCGCCCATGGCGGCGCGCCCCGCCTGCTGCTGCCGGAGCGCCGCCGCCTCGCCCTCCAGGCTGCGGTTGTGCGCCTCGAGCTGCCGCACCTTGTCGATGTAGCCCGCGAAGCGGTCGTTCAGCGCCTGCAGCTGCTCCTTCTCGCTGCGCGCGGCGGCCGCCACCACGCAGCCCTCCGGCCCGTTGCTCAGCGTGTCCAGCGAGTCGGTGCTCGAGGCGGCCGCGGCGCCGCGGAATCGGCCGGGCGCGGCCGACACGGAGCTCGCGGACGTCCGCGCCCACGAGTGGAAGCCGCTGGAGGAGCCGGCGGCCGAGCGCGCGCCGCCCTTGCGGGACAGCGCGTAGTGCAGCCCGCCGCCCCCCAGCAGCGGCGCGAACGGGGCGCCCAGCAGCGCGTCGGCGCCGCTGAAGCTCATCATGGCGGGAGCAGGTGCGGGGCCGGTGCGCGCGGGCGGCACTGCGGCAGCCCCGGGACGCCGGCTCTTTTATAGCCGCCCGGCCCGGCCCAGCCCCTCGGCGGGCGGCGGGGGGGCGCGCGGGGAGGGCCCGCTTCTCCGCCGCCTCCCCCGCGGCCCCGGGCGGCCGGCTCCGCCGCAGTGAGAGGGGCGGGGCTGGGGACCTGGGAGCGAGGAGGACCTGGCGGCGTCAGAGGAGCCCCCCCAGGTGGAGTGGGGGGTAGGGGGCTCCGGAGCGCACGTGGCGACCCCCGGGTGCGCGCTGGAAGTTCCTGCCGCTGGGCTCGGGAATAAGAGAAGGGGCTTGAAACGGGAGGCGGACGGGAGACCTGGTGGAACAGGGCGGGGAACCTTTGGATGGAGCGATGGAAAACTCCGGTCAGCAGGAAGAAGGGGCCCTGCGCGGCAGGGGAGCACAGATTTTCCGGTTAGGACCTCAGCCTGGGAGGTGCAGAGTCTCTGCAGCCGAGCACGGAATTGGGGAGGGAGCGAGGTAGTCCTAAATGGAGGCATAATGGATGCTGCGGAGGGCGCAGAGAGAGGACTGGGGGCCACGGAGGTGCACCTTTCCCTTATCATTAATTAGAGGGGCCGCCGGGAGAGGCTCCAGAAATCTGCCGGCTCTGCAGTAGGGGGAGGGGGAGCTGGGGAGGGGGCGCCAAGGGTACCCTGAATCTGGGTATGGGGGACACTGCAGAGGATGAGGAGAGTGACACCTGGAGGGGGGCACAGTGGACTCCGGAAAGTCTCGAGTAGCCCGCAGGGTAGGAGCAGGGACTGCAGCCGATCCCAGCAAAGGGGAACCTCAGTGAAAAGGGTAGAGGGTCCCCTAAATAGGCAGGAGGACACCGGGCTGTGTGTGTGTTGGGAGGAGGGTCAGAGAACCCAGAATGAGGGTGCAGTGGAGGATGATGCTGGAGAGCTGGCGCCCGTGCGGGGTGAGGGACGCGGCAGTAGCCGCCCAGGCGAGGGTCTGCACACTGAGGTCAGCGCCACGGTTTGCGTGCCAAGTGACCTTGAACAAATTATGTCCTTTGACCCTTGTACAAAGGGGTCTTTATAAAGAGGTGACCTTGCCCTGAGGAAGGTCTCCCACCTGAGATCCTCAGCATCCCTGACAGCTTCTGCTTTGGGGAGGGGATCCCACGTTCTGTCCTGGAGGTGGCGGCTGCTTTCTCACCACTAGGAAGTCCGTCTTTTTCTCCCGCCCCTCCCCACCCCTACAACAAATGGGTGCCTGTAGGTATTCCTTCTCCTCCCGCAGGGAAGAGGTGGGATGCTTGTGGAGACTAAGGTCCTTCACCCGCTAAGCCCTCATGGAGGGTAAGGTTCAAAAGGGGTCCCTGGGACTTGGAGTTTGCAACTTCTGGTGTTATTTGGTGTTTTCTGGGGTTTGGTCTCATGTCACATGCCTTGGGGTGGGGGCTGTGCTGCCCCTTCAGTACCCAGGGCAGAACCTGCTCCTTGTTGGGGGAGAAAAGGGTTAACTTCTGCCTTTGCCTTGGGAGGAGAGGGAAGAGAGCATCTCCCCCTTGCTGAACCCCTGTGCGTACTGACTAGAGAGTGGGGGGGAGCGGGTGAAGGATCCGACTGTGTCACACAACAGCCAGGGACCTGGCCAGCCTTCTGACTTGTAGGAGTTCAGGACGCTCTCCCACAAATGCTGGGGTGCCTAACCCACTCCCCTGACTAACCCCAGCGGATTCTGGGAGCCTTGAGACCCCCTGAGGATTAGGTGTAAGCTCCTCTCTCACGCCTGAGCCTCTCTGACTTATCTCAACCCCCACCACATTCCCAGTTTAGTTTTCTTTCCGAGGGCCCCAGGATGGAGACAAATAGACTCCCCCGGCGAAGACCTCTGCCGGCTGTTCTCTCTTTGCCTTCCACCTCCCCCCAGGCTGTAAGCAGACCCTCAGAGATGGGGATGCGGTGGTGCTCTGTCCCTTTAACCACGTTTTACTGGAAGGAGAGTGCCCTGGAGAGGAGGGGGGGGAGGGAGTCTCCGGTTTCACATGGAGAAGCAGAACGTGATGAAGCACTTTTCCCCATTCAAATATCCAGTCATGCTCCCGTTTGTAGGGGGCAGAGGGGCTGGTTTGCAATGTGCTGGGAGGATGAAGGTGAGTGACTGAGGCTTCTGAGAGTGGCATGGGGTGGGGGGGTTATTTGCAGGACCCCCGTGCTCTCATGGGGATCCCCATTTAGTTATTTGTTTGGAATTTTGCCATTAGAGCCTTATTTCTTTGGGTCTTTTCAGTCAGCTGCAGAACGCAGATACATTCACTAGGTGTGGGAGGGCTGACGAGCAGCTGACAGCAGGAGTGGTGGGAGGGACTGGGTAAAAGAGGGGATGGGGCCAAGATGGGATTTGTCAAGGTCAGGAGGCTACAATCATGGGATTGAAGCTGCCAGTGGAGTCCAAGAAACCCCATGTATGGTTTTGTGCCTGGAAGTATGACATGGGGGTGGGAACTCTGAGGTCACTCCCCCAAAGGGCCCTTCAGGCTCACCTCCAAGAAATTCTACCTGCTCTCCTTTACCCCCACCTTTAGGTCATTATCCCTTCCACAGTCTGCCCACCACATTACTTACCACTCCGTTGTCATTGGGTGAATCAGCAAATACATGTCAGCAGTTCTCCTGTCACACTAGTGGGGTAGAGGGGACTTAAATTGGGACTGAAATCTCTGTCAGCTTCCTCCCTGCTATTCTTACTTTGGAAGTGAGAACAATATATCATCCATCCATGCATCGCGTTTATTGAACACCTGCTATGTTATAGACACACACTAAACACCATATGCCTATACATCTCCAAAACTGTCTCCCTGGGACCAGAATTCTGAAGTCCTTCCCAGTTCCCAGCCCAGCATTCCCCAAGGCACCTTCAGGATGATGACTGGTGTTCCTGAAAAAAAGGACAGGAGAAGAGGGAGTTTTGTGGCTAAAGGAGTTAAGCAGGGTTCTTGGGGTCTGGGCTTGGTGATGAGATTGGGAACTTTCCAAAGGTGAGTTGAGTGTACCAAGTTCCTCAATCTTGTTTGACCACAGGCACTTCTTGGCCCCTGCTGTCTCTCGTAGTGGCCTACACTGAGGGACGTGTTCAGAATTGTGCTTCAACCTCTGCTGTCCTTTGACTGCCATCTGGGCTCCCATGAAGAGGCCCCAAGGTTAGTGCTCTTCAGAAATGGGGCCGCAATGTGAAGGATAAAGCAATAAAGCTCTCTGTGAACTTTGGCTTAGCATTATTGTCATTCACTTTATTCATTCCGCACCTTACAGGATGAGACTTTGTGGACTCTGAAGAATGAGACCCTAGGGAGGGAGAACCCCTCTGATGTATCCTGCAGAGGGAACCCAGCTACCATTTCCTCCTTGGTACCTCCTCAAACCTGGCTTACTAGGCAAGGATCATTGTTCCTATTTTATAGATGGTAATACTGAGGCCAGAGTGCAGTAGATTGCCTGAGTGACCTGTCACTCAGTGACCACTCACCTCACGACAGAAGTGAATTCAGTGTCTCAAATCACCCAGGCCTAAATTGGTGCTTTGTACATAGGGTGGACACCCATTTATCTGGCAGAGTAGAGGCCCAGGTTAGAGGAATGAGACAGCTGAATGGGGTTGGAGTCTCACCTCCGAAACGTCCAATTGAGAGTCCCCCTGACTCATGACCCGGCATCGTCACAACCTTTATTTGGGGCTCACTTCGCAGCCCAGGCATTCTGCAGCTCTGTGTCACCTCTCTGGGGAACAGTATATGACCACTCTTTGTGGGTACATTTGCTTAACTCTCCTGTTTTCTTTTATTCGATAGAACTTGATATTTTCTAGTGGAAAAGTCTATTTTGTCTCCTATAAGATTTAAGCTTCATAATACATGAATTTTGGTCTGTTTTATTCATTGCTGATTTCCTCAGTACTTGGTGCAATGACTGACATACAGTAGGTGTTTAAAAATTAGCTGTCCATTGACTGCAGCCTGCCTGAGAGGCTCGCGATAGGCTGACATTTCAGCACCACGGATCTGGACAGCTCCGGGCACGCTGCGCCCTTGCAGGGAGGCCGCCTGCAGGATGGCCTGGGAGAGGTAGACCTGGAAGTTTGGGCCCTGCTCTCAGGCTCAGCTGTGTGGTCGCCTTTCCTGGGCTCACACCCTGCCCACTCCAATGCCTTTAGACGCATTCCTAGTATTACTGTCCTCCTTTTGGAGTTCACTTCTTTTCATGTGTCTATGTAGTGTGGAATATTTCTCTTCCTACCTGCCCCTTCCCCTGGAGGGTCATCATATGCCCCATTCTGCATCTCCCTCTCTTGCCCCCTCCTGTTCCCTTCTTTCCCTTTCTCCTCTCCTTGCTTTCTCCCTCCATCATGTTCCTCCTCCTTCTCCCCTCGCCTCCTCATTTCTCTGTCCTCCTTAACCCTCTCTCCTCCCCTCTCCCTCCTCTGTCTCCTTAGAGGTGTCCTAATTCTGCAGGGCTTAAATCTGATTTATGGTAAGAGGGAAGTAGCCTCTCCTTTCCCTATCCCTTTATGAAGAAAACAGCAAAAACTGAACTATGTGTGGTTTAGCATTAGCCTCCCCTAGTGTCTAGCCACAGTCCTAAATCACCAGGGACCGGCCCTTGGCTGATGAAAGCCTCAGCAGCTCTGCCTGCCCACCCACCCGGCTGCCGCCCGGGAACAGAACTGGGTGGGAGGATGAATTCTGCTGCAAAGGTCAGGAACTCGTGGGTGGATTCACAAATCCACTCCCTCTCCTCTGCTCCAGTTCCCTCTGCAGCCAATTACGGGTGAATGATTCTCGGGCTATGGGTCCTGAGAATGAGAGTGAGGTGATTCATTTGTCCTTCCTAAGGGACCAGTCCTAGCAGTGTGGCAAGGCTTGCTGAGTTTTGTGTTCTCTAGGACTGTTATACTCTGGTTACCTAGAGCAAGAGGCTAAACAGTAACAGGAAATGAA